AAAATTCCATGACAATGTATACCCAAAGTATATCATTTGGCACGATAATGATATTCTGTTCATGCTCAGTTAGACACTGTCTACTAAAGTAAGGAATTTTAGGAAAATAACAATAACCAACCAATAACACTGGTATTCGAGTGTTAACATACCTTTGTACATAAACAAGACACGGGGCAAACACATGGCACAAATAGTCTCATCAACGTGCTGTAACATAACTTATGTTGTAAAAAAAAATGAAAACAGCTGAAATAAATAAACATCAAACACATTTTTTAAACTGAAGAAAATAAAATTGGAAAACAACATTTGGTGATAAGGAATATAAGGTACATTATTTAGGTGAAACAATGCAAGCCAGTGAAACAACAATGAACTATAAACATAATTAGTATATGACTAGACTGCAGATAACAGTGAGACAAAGCCTGGGGTGGAACAGAGGCTGAGAGTGGATACACTCAGGTTGAACAGGTGAAGTAGTGAGGAACATCTCACATTCAGAGACAAATGTCCCGATTCTTCAGCTTCTACTCCTGTGAGAGGATGAAGTGGTGTCCGAAAGGTGCAATATTTCACTGCATTCCTTTGTCACTCAAGGATCAACAGACCGTGGTTCAAGTACCAGGTTAACACTGAAAAAGGCACTTGGTTTGGGTTTTACACGTCATCAGTCAGTGATGGAAATAACAGGGCTGGTTGTTTCCAAGTCTGGTAGCCCTAAGTATATCACTAATTCAAAATGAATAGTGGACAGGTTTGATCATTCATGACTGCAAATAAACGACTCATAGCTCAAACATGCTGACTCACCATGTAATGTGTGAAAATAAATATTGATACAGAAAATTGCTTTCTAAACATCACAACCATTATAGGCACCATCACGTGGTAGAGAATGAAACATTTTTAGTTTCAGGTAAGAACAACTGGGTACACGATGGCAGATAAACATAACATTTCCAAGGGTTGTTGACAACTGGGAATGACATGGAAGGTATACAGAGAGAATGGCATGCTGATGGAACATATGCAAGACAGATTCAAAAATAGTTTTATGGAGCACTGGGAACACAATGAAAGATGTGCATGACAGATTAAAGCATAGGGGCATTTTTAACAGGGAACAATATGGAAAATGTGCAGGATAAATACAATAGGGTTATTGAGCACTGGGTACATGATGGAAGATTGACATGAGAGTCTCAGGGAACAGGACTGGACTTGAGGGTGTATCATGGAAGACTGACATTAAGAAACCAGTCAGTGATACTATAACCTGGCTATTTCGAATTGAACAGCACACAGGACTTGTTGAAACTATCTCAGCTACATCATCCCGAGAACAGTGGTCAGACTGAGTGCCTTGGGAGAAGGGTTCAACAACCGGACACCTAAGGTAACCTTGCATGCTCTCACACTGTCAAGATCCACAAAATCTGAGCACAGACTCTAGCAAGCCTGAAAACAAGGAGTTGCAGACATCATTACAATCAGATGTTAGTGCTCACGACTATAAATCAATGTGTGGACATCCCATTCCAGGTCATGCCAGAATGACCTTTCATCCATCAGACAGAGCATCACCAACAACATGGCCACAGTGACAACCAAATGAGTTTCCTAATCAAGCAGCTTGAACAAGGTGAATGCATGGTATTCTTAACGACAGTATGATTAATTCTGGCAAATTCAACATCTGCCTCTAACATCAACTAGATAAATATTTGAAATCAGAGAGCTTTCCCATAGCTCTTCAAAATTGCTCTCATTCAATCTTAGTCGCCTATTTAACATTCCAGATAATAATTTCTTCAGTTTTCAATATCTAAATGGAGAGCATTGTCAAAAAAGGTGGGTAGTCTTGAACAGTGGTTGATTGAAACTTGTGACATAAAGTCTAAGAAAGCTGCTTTCTGACTTGCTTAAACCAAGCTCCTGGTAGTCATTTCACAGGCTGGTCAAAGTTCACAAACCATCATTCAGATGTGACCTTAAATGAATTTTCTCAGATCCTTGCAGTAGCAGGCACCAGGGTCTGACTACAGTGAGATTGCTGCAGGTAGCTGTAGCATGGAAGTGGAACGTGGTCTTTATATCCAGTGGACTGTGTGAAGACCACTGTATTGATAAGCACTCTGCACAAATCACAAAGCGAACACGAAAGGAACAGCACCCTGTCCAGGAAACAACATGGCCACAATCACCGGGGTTCCTGCTGAGTGACAGTATATGGCCAGGTGGTAATTGACTAGAACATTCAAAGCACCTTACGGAAAAATGTTCCTCACTTTTCCCAATGGACAGTCCTGACATGCAAAAGTTGATGAAGAACATGCAGGGTCTTAGAACATCTCTGTCTAAGTCCCCTAGGAAAAGAACATTGCCTGAGACTTGTTTGTTAAACACCACATTTACAATTGTTCAGGCTATGAAGCAACAATTTTTTTATATGTTTATAAAATCAGGGACAGCAAGTCAATCTATCATGATAGTGGATGGATGATGATCTTATTGTAAACACTAGATCTATTTATCACTTGAATTCTATGTTCTTCCAGGTATTGTTTTACTACAAGAGCATCTGACAACTGACACCTGAACACACATAAGTTGTTAAGGAAACAGGACCCCCGCCTGATGATGGGTTGTCCCATGTCAGTGACAAGAAATGGGAGTCCACTACATTAGGACCACATCATCATTACAGGATTCCATGTGCAAGAAAAAGTGTTCCAATGTTAATATAGTCAGGGTAGAATGGAGATACAATACTGAATGTTACATTTATACACATCATGTTAACATGTCCGGTTGTAAGTGATATTGATGGGTGTTGTATCAAGGTTTTATCTCATAAATGTAAAAAAAACACCAGCTTATCTGAAACCCTGCACTAGACAATGTGCAGAAAATAAGTTTTAACCATCAAACTTGCCATTAAGACAAGGATTCTTCCAGAGAGGAGTTGATATCAGTTTGAAAATATTAATATAAATTGTATATTTATATACTTATCCTATGTCACGGTATGCACCTCTCTTCTTCTTCTACGACCAGGTGTGGAAACGTGCTGTAGGCTAAGTTGAATCAAAAGTTATCTGGCCTCTGATCCCCCGACCTCTGCCCCCACTCCGATAGCAGTACCTGTCAATCATCACAATAAGCGTGCAGATCGCTCAGATGATCATCTGACGGTCATTGCCTGTCATTTTGATTCAACTTAGCCTACAGCACGTTTCCACACATGGTCCTAGAAGAAGAGAGGTGCATACCGTGAGATAGGATAAGTTTAAAAATATGATGCCTTTTCAAGGATTTGCAGGAATCAAGGAACATTACTGCAATGTATTGCCAGTTGGATCAATGGCCTCCTCCAGAGATGGTGTAATGCCATGGAGATGTGCAACTGATTAAAACTGGGATTAGCATGATTAGAACTTCACATTTCCCACAGATCCAAGTGATCAATGTATACAAAAATATAGTCAGGGGCTCCTGATATCACCATTGGATACTAACTACGCACTACTCAATACTTAAATTAACATGCTTGTTTGAAGCCACTGTAGTGTCCATAACAATGTATGCAGCACTACATCAAACAAGTATTACCACATTAACTGAGACTCGATGCTAAGTATTAGATTCCAGCACAAACCTATATCTTAGTATTATAGTGATCATTATATTCTCATCTATAATTTGAACATATTCTGCACTATCATCGAGGATATTTGTTGTACAAAAATATTGCTATTCCATAGAGAAGACACAAGTTTTGACATTTTGGCACTTTTGTCCTGCTAAATCTGTTGAGCTATAAACTTATTTTTATCTAATATCCTTGTATTTCTGACTGTGTATCTATCTCTCTCAACTACCAGATAATGGCTTGGAGTATCATGAAAAACAACTCCCGTTTCATGCATAATCAAGAATTCAAGGCTACTTCTTGTCCCTCCCTGAATGACAGAATGGGGCAAACATGACATGCTTACAAGTATACAAATCATGCCAGCTAAATAAGATTCATATAAGAGAAGCCAGTTGTGATAAGTTTTCCCATCCTGTCAGTACTCAGTGGGACTGACTGACTGACTGAGTTTGGTTTTACGCCGCTTTTAGCAATATTCCAGCAACATCACGGCGGGGGACACAAGAAATGGGCTTTATTCACACATTGTACCCATGTGAGGATTCGAACCCGGGTCTTCGGCGTGACGAGCCAACATTTAACCACTAGGCTACCCCACCGCCCCTACTCAGTTGGAAAAAGTGCCAGGTAGCCCTGAAGTTTTTAGTATGCCTAAACTAGAAGTTGAAAATGCCTATAGAGAATCTCATCTGACTTCACTGTTGTAAACAAGCAAATATACAATGAGTACAAAATACTGCACTGGTTAGCCACCTGAAATGTTCATTTTGGCTGGTATCGTTTAAATTCATCACATATAAGGAAATGTAACATTAACAAGGCATCAATTATTGTATTTGAATTGACGTTCTATGCATGAACATGTTAAACAGCGTTTTAAATTCCTGCTGGTCTTCTAGCACAAGACAACTACGTTGTGTTGAGGATAAGGTGGGATGGAAGTCCCATTGACTAGTAGTGTTTGTCAGCAATTATTGTTAACAATTATTCAATGATTCAATTTTGATACCAATAAGAACTGAATAAAAGTCATTGGTGGATCCAGAGGGGGGGTCCAGTGGGTTCAAACCCCTGACACACACACCCCCCAAAAAAAAAGAAAAAAAAAAAAGCATTCCTGGATCCGCCTCTGAAACTGATAGAAAATGTACATTAAGTAAACAGTTTTCTCTTCTTCAAGCAGGCCTAGCCACAAACTCTAAGGACTATTGAAATAAGCTTTCCACTACATGGCTTGATTTTAGCATTTAGAACTTGCACTGGTGCAACCTGAAACTGCAAAATGCAACCACATATTTATACTGACTTGCCCTTAGTGCACGTTGATATATTGCTGTTGAAATAACACAGACTTCATCTGGGAAACAGAATGATGAGGAACTGGCTTAGAGCAGTGGCTCTGATGACAACACAGACAGTGTTTGAATAACTGCTACTGTTCATGTCATGAAATTATGAAGTAAAATAAAATCACAATAATTTTGCTACAAGGATGTTCTAATTCACCAATACCCAAGTTCAAGCATCATATATAATTATATATTGAGAAACAGGTGCAACCTGTTTTTGTCTGGTGCAACCAGGTCATTACCTAGGGTTGCAATAGGTGGAAATTGATTTCATTTCCTTAAATCAAGCCCTGCACTATTTTTCTGGACTAGTCTAAAACAAATGAATTTCTGGTTTAATTTTAGCAGGTTCTGGTGATGGGAGACATGGAACTGTAACGTGTGAGGAAAAACGTGTTGAGGTGAGGTCCTGTCATCACCCTGTATTGGAAGCAGCACACTGTGGATACCTAATGTCATGGTAATTAAGAGCTGAACATTTGCAGGGGTACACTTGTATACTGAGTGAGGCAGCTGTATGGTAATGATTGACTTTACCTGAGTCAGCTGTACAATCTCCAGCTGAAACACCAGCTGTCAGCAGCAAGTAAGACTTACACCTATACCTAAGTGATACATGTGGTCTCACCTTAGGCAAGTGAGTTTGTTCACATTGCCTCTGTTCACCCAGCAAGAAAATGGGTACCCGGTGGAAAAAGTCATGTGACTATAACCTTCTAGCACCTCACAGGCAGCTTGGGTTATCCGGGGTAATAATGTGCTGTGCTATTGGTAGTTAACGCTGTGAACATACCTAGCGTGGAGTTTGGTGTTATATATATGGACACAATATTATTATTATTATGTTGACAAGTACAATTGGTGTGAACTTACAAATCCATGCATATTCAAGTTAAAGGACTTCGTAAAGCACTTTATCAAAACAAAATTGCACAGTTATAAAACCAATAGTACAGCTTTACACCGTTCTCTGTTCTCATACTGGTTCCATACTAATATCATCAACTACTGGCAATCATCCTGTGTATAAACACAGAGAGACTGATGCTATATAATGGCACATTCACAACAACAAAATCTAATTACCCTTTCTACATGTGTGCAACCTTTTTTACAACCCTTGGATTTGTTCAGAACACTTAAGCATTTAAGAGGTGACATTTACCCATGGGAGAAAATTTGACTACATCTGTAACAACAAAAGAATGACAGATGTTACGATATATTTTATATCACATCACAATTGTTTGCCATAATAATTTTCTTCTGTACATGCACAGAAACACTAATGTCAGTTTCATGTCCCCCACCATGACCAGTTTCAGGGACTCCTTCTCAGCCCTCACTAACCCTTCCAGTCCTAGAACACTGGCCCATGGTCAGTATATAAACCAACAGTGTGTGTGTCTTCCAAGGTGTGTGTTTAAGTTAATTGAGATCAGTGAGATGTTAAGTAACGTATCCATGTAACTATAACACTGGCAATGCATTTCCTTTTGGAATCTTAGATATTTACATCATGTACATACAATTAAAACATTATCGGATTTCCAAAATTATGTTTCTTATCATACTATCAATTTTCCTATCTGAATAGGTTCAATCACAAAGCCATGACCAGAGAATTAACAAATTTGGCATATTAACATGAAGGTTTATCAAGGCTTTTCAATCATCCTATAACATCACAAAATATTATTAGCAGAAACGTAACAAAATTTACAGATAGATAATTAGATAAGTTAAGATGTCAGAATTCAAATCTAAAAACACATTTTGTAAAAATCCAGCTATAATGAATATTCCTTTGCCATGTATGAGATCACTTCCAGCATGCAATGCACATTATATTTCTAACAGACATGGATACGAGGCATAAATATATATTTAATCACATCTGCTACCATGTCATGAACACTTATCTGCATGAAATCTGCATGAATGACAAATACACCAATCGTTGCTGTTGCCGGGTTGTGGTTTGCGTTGAAGCACTTGTGGACAGGTACAGCAGTGATACAACCTGCGTACCTGTGGACTTCAGGGGCGTGTCAGTACACGTGGCTGGTCTACCTGGACGCCAACATGTCCTGCAGTTTGGAAATACAGACTTCGGATGCTTGTCTTGCCTCCTTGCAAACCAGGGCGAAGTTGAGGAAACCATGAGGTAGGTCATCTACAAGGTGAAGGTCAACTGAGTTCCCCAGCTTCCTGAGTCTCTTCGTAAACATGATGGAGTCGTCCAGGATAGGGTCAAGGTGACATGCCTGTGAAATTAGGATATCATTACTCATATAATTACACTGTGCTAGCCATGGTATGGATGTAGTGATATGCCTTAGACATATAGAATTTGTTAACCACTATATATACAATACCATGGAGTTACTCAAGATATCATGAAGTATAATGCCTGGACATGTTGGAACTTCTAATAACATCATCATTATTTGCACAATATCATGCAGTAATCAAGTTGGAACTTATAGTACCAATATCATGTTTTGATGACATCTTGCAGTATAAAGTTGGAACTTATAGTACCAATTTCATGTTTTGATGACATCTTGCAGTATAAAGTTGGAACTTATAGTACCAATATAATGTTTTGATGACATCTCGCAGTATAAAGTTGGAACTTAATAACAATAACAATATCATTATTTGCATTATGTTATGCAGTAATCAAGTTGGAACTTCTAATAACAATATCAAATTACACAATAACATGGAGTTATCAAGGATAACGTACAGTACACTAATATACCTTGGAACTAACAACAATAATTTGATGACAATATTGTACATTAATCAATTATGGGGTTAAAGAGGAAAATATAACAACTATAACTAAATCATGCACATCAACCACTAACCTACATTATATTAGAAAATACTTTTGAAAAATGACCAGCCCACAATAAAACCTACATTTGAATGCAGTAAACCTGAATTCAAACGACTACAGCATAGTCATGGTTGTACAGCAAGGAATGAACACTTCCAGTGTATAGTAACTGAAAGATATGCAGCATGTCACTTACAACTCCCTGCACAGAGAACTAGTGAAAATGTTTGTGTGAATGAGTTAACAGAAAAACCTGATGTCACATATTTCATCCCTCAAGGCTTCCAAGGCAGAAGCTCCTGTCTGTAATAGGGATCCAGAAAGTCTATTTACAACAAAAATGACAAAGAATTTCTACAGAATTTATTTTAGTGTACGAGTTGGGTTTTAGGCCATTTTGATAAATCTTCCAGTCATAACCCAGTGTATATCCATAATGAGGAAGTATAACCCAGTGACAGTAAACACAGAAGCACGGGAAGCCAAGGGAAGCGACTCTACACAGCAACTTGCATGACTTCTTTGAGAGGCATTTCAGAAGTTGTGAAGATGTAGGAAAACTAAGTTCTATGGATAGTCAACTTCTTTATTGCAATGAGTGTGACGTTTCGGTGTACATACTAACACCATTATCAAGCAAGTGACTTGCATAATGATGATGTTAGTACCTACACCATAACGTCGCACTCGTTGCAATAAAGAAGTTGACTATCTATAGAACTTAGTTTTCCTTCAAATTGCATGACTTTAAACAACTAAGACCCAAGAGAGCATCTAAAAGTGGGATTTCCAGATATAAGGATAATTTTTTTGTTTTCACAATGACAATCATGCTAATTCTGTCCTCTTGGGTAGTGGAACTGGTCAAAGGTAAAAATATATTATTATTATTTAAGATGAGACCACATTACACTTATTTTTAGTGAACTGACGGTCAGGTTGAGAAGTACTGTCATGGGTACTATCATTAACATGAGTGACACACTATCATTAGTGTCTCAGTAAAATGTAATCTTCTGATTAAAATTGATATTTTATACTTATCCTGACTCATGCTAAATGCTTGTCTCCTTCTTCTTGCGAATGATAGTGGAACACTTGAAATCCTTGGTTAGTGATGATTTTACGTCCGCTTTTTTAGAAGGGAACTTCAAGGGATTTCAAGTGTGCCACTATCATTCGCAAGAAGAAGGAGACAAGCATTTAGCATGAATCAGGATAAGGAAAAATTACTGCTTTAGCAGCAGTATGACAGCAGGGGCATAGGAAATAGACAAATACTTTGTGGGAATACAGCCTTTGTAGTGATGAAGAACACATAACCAATGGGGAGTCCTCCCCTCACTTAGTGTTTGTTTATGGTTGTACTCGGCAACATTCTAGCTATATGCTGGTGGGGTGTAGATAACTGTTGCTGGGCCAGACAATCCACTGATTAACATCATGGATGCAACTGGGATACAATGACATGCTGATCCCAGATTTGGGCTCTTATGACAAGTATGTGTTGCTGAAGGGCAACTTTTTAAACAGGCCTTCAGTAAGTGTCCACATGATACAGATAGTCTTGTTAGATACAGCTACAAAGGTCTCTACTTACCACCAGACTGAGATGAGGCAGCCCCTTCAACATGTGATCTGGGGCCAGTAGTGGAGACATGAAGGGGTTCTTCACTATAGGCAGGCGCCGTATCGCATGCAGCGGGCTCTGAGCGGTGTGGCGGTGCCGGAGGAAGTCTGTGGGGGACCCAGGATTGTTGACAGTGGTCTTGAAAACACCCGCTGAGGCAGATCGATGAATATGAGTTGCTGGGGGCTGATTAGTTTTGAGGGGTGACTCCGATGTCTTTTTCAAATTTAGATGCAGTTTTGATCGGAGGGCTGATGGTGAGTTCTGAGCTGAGCTTCCTGCACTGCTGGGTAGGTCAGTTATATCGACAGTATTGGCATCAGTGTTAGAATGAGCCATGTCTGCACTATGTGTTTGGTGTTCCTGCTGTGTAGATGTCTGTTCCTCAATATGACAGCCACTGTCTACAGATGGAGTGGACGTCATCCTTAAGTCAGGGTTCAAAACAGGAGCCTGTATCACAAACTGGCCTTCAAGTTCAGATACACAGTTATCTCCCTGTTTAGAATGGCCTTCGGAGTTATCTCCCTTTTTAAATGCACCTTCTGCTTGATTAGACTGTCCATTAGCAGACTGTGGGTTCTTATCAAACAGAATTTCATAACCAGATGATGTATCAGAGTCCCGATCTAGATTCATCTGACTGATCTGTTGTGTAGAATCTTCAGCTAACACATCAGCAATCTCCTTACAGATTCTCTGCCCTTCTGACACTGGTGTTGGACTGTCCAGCCTAATGTCTTCCAGTGACTCACGCTGCACCTCGGCCATATCCTGGAAACCTACCTCCCCCTTGCCCTCTCCCGGAGTGAAGAAGGTGTCCGGTGACGGGGAGTCCATAACGATGCCTGATCCCTCATTCAAGTCCAGCACTTCACTTTGAGTGATCAGATGGTCCATACCATCGGCACATGGAGATGGAGTCAGCTGGTCCATCTGTGAAGAGTGGATAACTGGACCCCTGGTCTTGGCTGCCTTCTCATCCTGGGAAATGATGACCCAGTCTGTGTCTGTCGACTCATCAGACTTGAGTTTGATGGAACTGAGCGAGTCCTTGTCACCAGGAAACACTGTGCTTGCCAGTCCGGATGCCAGCTCATCTGACACACCGGCATACGCTGCCAAAACAAATTATGTGGGTGCTGTGAGAGTGAACAAAGTATTTCTCTGTGGATAATTGTTTTGGCTCTGATTGAGCATAAAATTTAAAGATCTCAATTGTATAAGAGAATACACTGAGGAAATCAATGAAAGCAGATATTTGTCCTGAATTCTATAATATATCCATGATATAACATGCTGTGACAGTGAACAGGTTATCCTTGCAATCCTGGAACAATCAACTGTAAGATATGAGCAACAAGATAGAGATATATCTTGCCCTTTTCAAACAGTTTCAGGAAAGCACTAACAATTTCACAAAACACTTCATGCTTTTCAAATGAAAAACTGTTTGTAATATGTACTGCTATTAACAACTAACATTCAAATGTCTAACAAGACACTTTCAGCCATCTATCATCATATTCATTCCTCATTTTGCAAAAAATTACATAGTTTTTTCAACTTCCTGTTATAACTTCCACACTAATGTATATATGTTACTATGGTTACTGACACCATGACATACCTGCGAGACACCTGGACAGAATGCCGACTGGCAGCAGTGGGTCCATGAGGCAGAGCAGCCGCGACGGAGAAGGTGTGTAGCGCACCAGTACAGGGGTGTAGGCAGCCATGATACCGTCTGGGCAGCGGATGCCAAACTCAGCGGCTCTCATGGCTGTGGATATCATGAGGTTTCCCCCCGCACTGTCGCCTCCCACACAGATTCTCTCCCCCCGTTGTACCTGGTCAACAGTCAGCACTCGTCAATCTCTACTGTACATTAGTGACAAATTGTAATGGGACTTTGAGTACTGAGTACAGCTACCTTACTTCAAATGGCACATGACTTCTGAACTGACCAGCTAAACTGGTAGATATACATTGCTCGAACTGGTACAAAAACATTGTCCATGCATTTGATAACAATTCATTTAACAATTCTGAAACCTGAAACATGTATTACATCTTACTAACAGAAGGTACCTCATCAAAATATGTAAATTGTATTGTTTGTCACACAAATTAACATTTCAGCAATGTTGCTATCACCCCGTCTGTGTATATTAATGCACTTATTTCTAGAAGGTGCATTTTTGCAGCTTAAAGATAAATATCACATCATTCTTCTCTGTCCTTTTTCCAGTTTGTAAATATGTAATTTTTTAAGTAAAATTGATATTTTATACTTATCCTGACTCATGATCTTTGCTTATCTCCCTTTCCCTTTCGAATGGTAGTGGAACACTTGAATCCCTTGAAGTTCCCGACGCGGACGTACAATACTCACCCACGAGTTACCTCCCTTCCTCTTTCCCATGCAAACGTACCATGTGACGTGCCCAGACTTGTCATTCTCTCCTTATAATTTCACCCATGCACTTGGATCTGCTGTGAAATCACAAGTGTCTTTAATGGGGAGGTTGGGAGGGCTTGTTCGTCATGAGTCAGGATAAGTATAAAATATCAATTTTACTTAAAAAATTACATATTTTTCCTTATCCTGACTCATGATCTTTGCTTATAGAATCCGCCGGTATAGGTGGTGGGTCAAGCCACTGGATTCAACAGCTGTCCTTAGATACGTCCTGTATCCCCCCCATGGGAACTCCAAACGGCATTTCCGTGGTCCTATTCTTCCAACTTGCGTAGTAACTCGGGGGGACCACTTCTTGTCTTACTTCAATCTCAGACAAGTTGAATCATGTAGATTCTTGTGGTTATAGATAAACTAGTGTCTCCTGTACTAGATATCTTATAACAACCCATGGATTATGATAAGGTCTTTATCATAAATGAGTTGCGATCCCTTTATATGTAGGTAAGGTCATTACCCACACAGGATCTTTAATCACTCATGCTAGTCTGTCCTAGACTGTGCGCATGGACTTTCAAACTAATACTTTTCCTAGTAAAAGTCATCTTTAAGTCAACGTGATAAAGGGTGAGATTTCAACTCAGCGCCTTTGAGGAACCGTTAGTTGCTGTGCTACAACGAGAGGCCAAAATTGGTGAATGCCTGAGACGTCTTCAGTGGCTATATCTCGGAGGTAGTGGTTGGCAAACACCGTGTCCGACTTCCAGAAGCAGCCCTCCATTATTGTCAGTATAGAGCAATTTCCATGTAGAGCTAGTGTTGATGCCAGTGCTCTCACTTCGTGTGGGTTGGAAGCTCTAGGAGGTTCTAGTCCTGCTGCTTTGTAGGCTCTCAATATGACGGCTCTCATCCAGAACGATATGGTCGTTCTTGAGACTTCAGTTGATGTCTCCGTTGATAATGGGATGAATAGGCGCTTGAATTTCCTTCTCCTCGTCTTAGTCTTTTAAAGATATATCTTCAAGGCTCTGACTGGGCACAAGGATAAGTCCTATATATCTTGTGGGCCGAGGACTGTTGACAGCGCTGGTACGTGGAATTATCTATCTGGTTGACCAGGTAGTTGATTCTTGGCAATAAAGTCCCATCTACGTCCTTGATGAACTGCATCATGTTGCCCTCTGTCGAATGTGGTTCGACCGTAGTCCATCGCATGTATTTCCGATATGCGAGCTGCCGTGGCTAACGCTAGCAGGAACAGCGTCTTCTGTGTTAGCAGCTCGATCGTGATCTGGTCTAGTGGTTCGTAGACATCACTGGTAAGATGACGCAGAATTACATTCAGATCCCAGGCTGGAGCTCTGAATTTCTTTTGCTGGTCCTCCAACTTAAAAGATCTGAGAGAGCGAGTAATTCTGGTACTTTCGTCAACTTGATGCCTGTTTTCATGGTAATTACTGTACTGATTGCAGCGAGGTAAGTAGATAGAGGTGAACCCTTCAGATGTCTGGTCTGTCTCAGATGACATAGATATTCCGCCACTTTGGCTGCTCTGGCGGAGTATCCTCTTTTCTTCAAACACATTTTGATACGGTCCACACGTGTAGCTGGAACACTGCTGGGTTTCTGTGGACTTGCTTGGTGTGCGGATGTTTCAGTAGGTTCGGCCAATCTGGAAGCTTGATTACTGGGCTTCCTAGGGTTTCTAGTAGACCTGGGAACCATACTCTCGCTGGCCAGTAAGGCGCGACCAAAGTCAGTTGTAGCGTCTGTGTCTGTTTGATCTTGACCAGTACTTTGGGCAGTAGTATCGGGGGTGGAAAAGCGTAGCTGTTTAGTCCTTCCCACGACATGCTCAGTGCATCTGTTGCCCAGGCTTGAGGATCTGCAACTGGTGAGACGAACGTCTGCAGCTGTTTGTTGAACCTCGTGGCGAACAGGTCTATGGAGGGGAATGCTATTTCCCTTACGTTCAGAAACGCTTCTGGATGGAGCATCCATTCTGTTGGCGATGGGCGTAGTGGTCTTGAGAGAGCGTCTGCTAGTACATTCTTTGCTCCGGGTATGTGACACGCTTTTATCCAGATCTCTGCTTTTTGCGTGATCTGGAACAACTGGAATGTGAGCTGCAGTAGGCTTGGTGATCTTGTGGATCCTTGCCTGTTTATAGAGAACGCCACTGTGGAGTTGTCTGTGTGGATCATCAACATCTTGTTGTTCAGCAAGCTCGACCATAGTTGTACTGCGTTGATCACTGCTTTCATCTCTAGTAGATTGATGTGGAGCTTTTGTTCTGTATGAGACCACTTTCCCGACGCTACTTGATCGTTGAGATGTGCCCCCCATCCCTGCAACGAGGCATCCGCGTAGAGGTGTGTCTCGAAGACCGGCTCTTGTAAATAGACTCCTTCGCAGACATTCGACCTGTGTGTCCACCATAGTAGATACCTCTTGAGGTTTTCGGGCAGCAGGATAGGGTCGACACTGTTCAGATGCTTTATGAGGAACCTTTGTAGCGGTCTTAGCTGTAACCTTCCTATGTGCGTCAAGTCTTGCGCCGAGGTTAGTAGACCGAGTAGAACTTGCCATGATCGTAATGTTAACGGAGAGGTGACTGCTGGCAGAATCATGGCTTGTATCTTGACCCATCGATCCTCTGGGATGATGATTCGATTCTCTGCAGTGATGAATCTTATCCCCAGGTATTGTAGATCTTGTTTTGGCTCCAATTCTGACTTCCTTAGGTTCACCAACCATCCCAGTTGAGTGAGCAACTTGATCGTGAAGTTCAGCTGTAGTCTGAGTAGACTTGCATCTTGGTGGACCTGAATCCCGTCGTCCAGGTAGAAGGCATTGCGTAGACCTCGTAGATGAAGGTATGCGACTATAGGCTTGGTTATTCGTGTGAATAGCCATGGAGCCGAAGATATTCCAAACGGTAGCACGCTCCATTGGTAGTGTTGCCCTTTGAACAGGAATCGTAGATATTTCCTTGATTCTCGATGTATCGGGATGTGCAGGTATGCATCCTGTAAGTCTATGCTTGCCATGTAATCTGCTGGACGGACGAGTTGTTTCAGTTGCGGTAGGTGGATCATGCTGAACCTCTCTGGTTTCAGTAGATAGTCTCTGTTGAATTTGCGCATGTTGTAAATCAGTCTGAACTTCTCAGTGGAGTTCTTCTTTGGTACTAGAAAAATTGGGGAGTAGAACCCTGGGGTGAGATGATTCTGGTCCATTATCTCTACTGCATCTTTCGAGAGAAGTGCGTTGATGGCTTCTTGTAATCTGTCTGCCTGCTCCTCTCCGTACTTGAAGACCATCGGGCTGAGGGTTAATGGAGGGGCATCTTTCAGTTGTACTTTGTTACCTTCTCTTAGTACCTGAGAGGCGTAGTCGTCTCCTAGAATTCCCAAATTTTTCCAGTACCCTTGTAGACGTTAACCCACTGTCGATAGTTTTACAGGAACGGCTGGGGGTGGAAGACTCCAGTCGTTCCGAACTGTGGCTTCAGCGTCTGGTACTTCTGGAAGCTCTGGAGCCGCGGCCTCTTCCTGAGTCTCCTCTGTAGTTGCCCGAAGGGCGACGACAGGAGTCCTTGCCATCTCTGGAGTTAGAGTACTTTCTGTCTTTAGCTCTCTGTATCCCAGCGTACTTAGACTTGTTGTTGTATCTCTGGGAAGTATGGCGGATGACGCTGGCCAAGGTGTCTATGGTCTTGATCATCATGACCTCTCTGGAGTCTTGTGTAGCTTGTTTAGCTGCATCATCCAATAGACCTCCAAAGATGGTAGGTGCCTCCCACGGAGCTCGTAGTAGAGGCTGCGTAAATCTGTCATTCCAGGCGCAGGACGCCAGTAAACCCTGTCTGCGTATTAAGGTGATTGCCGCCGAAATTGATGTGAGGTGGTCCGATAGGAAGAACTGATCCTTCTTTTGTGTGACAAGGGCCGAGTAGATCATTTTATCCTCTTCCGCTGTGGAATTTTGGAATTTCTGTATCAACGCTTCGTTGATGGCCCTAGATCTTGCTAGTCCGAAGAAAGATCTTCTAGAAGCTGTATCCACTTGTGATAACTTCTTATCGTCCACCTTATACACCTTAGTCCTGGCATCGTTGACCAACTTGATGTTGTCGTCCCACTCCGGCGCCTTCACAAATGTAGGGGGGAATCTCTTTTTATTCAAAGATGGTAGTTGCTGCGTCTGGAACTTAGAGGCCTTCTGTCATAGGAACGTTCCCTTTCGCGAACGTCTCTCTCTGGAACCTCTTCACGAACCTCCTTGTGGTGAGCTGTGCCTTCGCGAGCTGTGACTGCGTGGTGATCTACATGTGGATCGGCTAGGCGTCGGGGCAGGCTTCTTAGAGGTTCGCGAACCTTGAGGGTTCGCGAACGTGGACTGCATTTCATTTGGGCTGTCTCGTAGTATGATGGAGTCATCTGGTTGTGGAGCCCTTCGCGGAGGAGTATGTTCGCCAACGTCAACTGCAGGTGTAGCTCTGATGGGTGTAGATTCGTGTAGGCCAGTGGGTTTGCGCACTGTGTCAGAAGACTGTTGGGTCTTTCTAGATTCTTGCTGGAATTTCTGCTCCATCATCTTGTTGGTGAACTGCGTCATGAACTCCCCCGGGTCGAAGTTCTGCATTAGTTGTGTCAGCTGCGATGCTGTTTTCCTTGCCTCAACCTCTGTCCTCGAAGTAAGAGGTCTTATGTCGTACAGCTGGCCTGCTGTGACATTCATAGGTGATGATCTAGTAGCAGTTGACATCGACTGCGTCATAGATGGCATCGATACCTCAGGTAGAAGTATAGGGGGGTCGTCAAACACGTCTTTCTCATGTGGCGGTACGATCTCATCGTTGAAAGATTTCTGTGTAACAGCGGTAGCATGTGTAGTAGGATGACGACCTTTTCTTAGTCCCCTTTGCCGCAGACTGGTTCTGTAATGTACTAGGCAACATATCACTATTATGAACATCAGCAGCAAGCAACATACGGTTTTTGGCCTGATCTCCAGATTTATCACATGTGACTAGAGATGTCTTTTTCACCCGATCCATGGCACGTCTATAAACATAAGACAGATATTGATTAAACTGTAATTCAGTTAAATCAACACAGTAGCTACAACACAAGGTGGATGAACATGGATCTGTACATGATGGACATTGGGGGTGAGGATCAGCCAGCGACAACCTGTGTTTACACACACAACACAATTTCATGAATTGTAAACAAAGTTACAACACGATGAAAACACGACTCAAAGTCAATAAATTTCAACAAATTTGTACAAATATTACATTGTAATTATAACAAAAACCATACACAGCTTAATTTAGAAGAATAGGCCTAAATATAAATGATAGATTGCCGTATACGGGACTCAGTGCTCGCCCAACCATCCGCTTGGGCGAAAAGGGAGAGAGTGACAAGTCTGGGCACGTCACATGGTACGTTTGCGCTCGGGAAAGAGGAAGGGAGGTAACTCGTGGGTGAGTATTGTACGTCCACTTCGGGAACTTCAAGGGATTCATATGTTCCACTACCATTCGAAAGGGAAAGGGAGATAAGCAAAGATCATGAGTCAGGATAAGGAAAAATGATTATTTCTGAAACATAATACATGTTTACCCAGTGGGAGAAACTTCTGCCAGAGGTTATGTTGACACTGTACATGATTAGTACACATAACAAAAATAAAAATTTTTAAATTTCTACAAAATCACTATTGATTAATTCATTAACTGAAGCTTGAGTCAGAAAGGAAAATATTATCACACATCTCCCACTCTGCAAGCTCATAGAGTTACAGGTGTGTAGTTATTTGTAGTTGTCACAAGGGTTGGTTAACTGTATCAGGTTGTCAGTGATTTGATTCACTGTACAGTACACATCTCGTTTCAACCATGCTGATTACTGCCCACGGGCATCAATAAATTGCATGTTTGGACTTGTTCACAGATCTGTGTCATATTGTGTGAATATTGCTGTGGTACACCAAACAACAGGCAAACATACCCAGCTTGTCACAGTTCTGCGTGGCCCATGCGTAGGCGTAGAAGCACTCCTCCAGGGCGCGGGGGAAGGGGAACTCAGGTGCCAGGGAGTAGTCTATGGACAGTATGGGTACGTTCAGCTCCTTGGCCCAGTGGCGCAGGTACACCTGGAACAATCGGAGGAATGACTGGTTCTCAAACTACAAACATTCTGCTGTGGAAATCCATCACAAGTTATTCCCATATACTGATACCTTTTCTTCTAAAGGTAAACTGCATATTGGACATGCAGGTGAAAACAAAGAGTTGCAGCCAGATACCAACACCAGGATACTGAACGATGACAAAATTCAGATTAATTATAGAGCCTGTTGCAGGCTTCTGCAACTAATTTGATCCATCTTAAAGTGTGAGTTAAACATAATTTACTGATTATTTAATGAATTTGGGTTATCATTTATTCATATCACATCATAATTTTGCATGAACCAATTTAAGGGTATATGACTGACTGACTGACTGAGTTTGGTTTTTACGCCGCTTTTAGCAATATTCCAGCAACATCACGGCGGAGGACACCAGAAATGGGCTTCACACATTGTGCCCATGTTTGGATTCGAACCCGGGTCTTCGGGGTGACGAGTCAACGCTTTAACCATTAGGCTACCCCACCGCCCCTTCAGGGTATATGACATAACTTAGCCCCTGTTTTCCTATTTGGACATCTTGTCAGTAACAGAATATGTGTCAGTTCCATGCAAACATTCAATAATAAGTGGAGCACAATAGTGCCTATCACGCTAAAGGCCCAGGTTCGATCCCCGGTGGAGGCACCTAGGTTCGGGTCCCGAGTGGGCACATTTGCATAGTATCCTTGGACAAGATACTTAGATCCAAATTGTCTCAGTTCACCCAGCTGTAAAATTGGTACCTGTGAGTGTTTAGTTCATTGCACCTAACATGCAGCATGGCTGTATACTCCCCAGGGAGTTGAAAAAGTATCGGAAAGTATGATAGTGTCCTATGACCGGGGATAGTAATGTACTTAGCACTGTGAGCAGGCAACGACCCTGGATGAGCGCCATATAATCTTCTATTACTAATAAGCAACCAACCTAGTGGTATTTTATCTCAAATTTCAATTCTTTATTCACCAAGTTTATATGTTTGTTGATACCTGAATTCGCTGAAGGCATATGATGTAATTTTTATTTGTCTGCATGTAAAACTTGAAATATTTCACCTTCCGAAATACTGAATCCCCTAGAGAGGGGTTGTGCATTATACTTGGTGCCAATTATACTTAGAGAAATACGGCACTTTAGCCATCAAGTCTTGTTACCTCATGTGACTTGGATGACTGAGCCACGAATCCTCCCCCATGACAGTGGACCAGCAGGCCAGGAGCTCTGGGAGCCAGCTTTGGGGCTGGACGGCCATTTCTTGACTTCGGAGGCTGCTTCAGGTGATATTCCTACAACATCAGCATGTTAACCTATCACTGTGTACTCACTGTACATAAAGATCTGAGCTACACTGAAATCTGGAGTGAACTTCCAGACCTGTCACTTCAGTACTTTCTACACTAAATGTTCCATACTTAAAATCTTCCCTGTGTCAGACATATCGTAACTATCTACACTACATATTCCCAATTCTTCCCTGTGTCAGACATATCGTAACTATCTACACTACATATTCCCAATTCCAAATCTTCCCTGTGTCAGACATATCGTAACTATCTACACTACATATTCCCAATTCCAAATCTTCCCTGTGTCAGACATATCGTAACTATCTACACTACATATTCCCAATTCCAAATCTTCCCTGTGTCAGACATATCAGAACTCTACACTACACTATCTTCCCTGTGTCAGACATATCTACATATATTCCCAATTCCAAATCTTCCCTGTGTCAGACATATCGTAACTATCTACACTACATATTCCCAATTCCAAATCTTCCCTGTGTCAGACATATCGTAACTATCTACACTACATATTCCCAATTCCAAATCTTCCCTGTGTCAGACATATCGTAACTATCTACACTACATATTCCCAATTCCAAATCTTCCCTGTGTCAGACATATCGTAACTATCTACACTACATATTCCCAATTCCAAATCTTCCCCTGTGTCAGACATATCGTAACATCTACACTACATATTCCCAATTCCAAATCTTCCTGTGTCAGACATATCTACATCTACACTACATATTCCCAATTCCAAATCTTCCTGTGTCAGACATATCGTAACTATCTACACTACATATTCCCAATTCCAAATCTTCCCTGTGTGTCAGACATATCGTAACTATCTACACTACATATTCCCAATTCCAAATCTTCCCTGTGTCAGACATATGTCAGACATTAAGAATATCTACACTACATATTCCCAATTCCAAATCTTCCCTGTGTCAGACATATCGTAAATCCATCTACACTACATATTCCCAATTCCCAATGTCAGACATATATCAATCTACATCATTTCCCAATGTCCAAATCTTCCTATGTCAGACATATCTATCTACACTACATATTCCCAATTCCAAATCTTCCCTGTGTCAGACATATCAGAACTATCTACACTACATATTCCCAATTCCAAATCTTCCCTGTGTCAGACATATCGTGAACTATCTACACTACATATTCCCAATTCCAAATCTTCCCTGTGTCAGACATATCGTGAACTATCTACACTACATATTCCCAATTCCAAATCTTCCTGTGTCAGACATATCGTGAACTATCTACACTACATATTCCCAATTCCAAATCTTCCCTGTGTCAGACATATGTCAGACTATCTACACCACATATTCCCAATTCCAAATCTTCCTGTGTCAGACATATCGTGACTATCTACACCATATTCCCATTCCAAATCTTCCTGTGTCAGACATGTCATTCACTATTCACACCACATCCCGATTCCAAATCTTCCTGTGTCAGACATATCGTGAACTATCTACATGTTCCACCACATATTCCTGTGTCATTCCAAATCTTCCTGTGTCAGACATATCAGTAACTATCTACACCACATTCCCATTCCCTGTGTCCATATCGTGAACTATTCCTGTGTCAGACATCTTCCTGTGTCAGACATATACATACATATTCCCAATTCCAAATCTTCCCTGTGTCAGACATATCGTAACTATCTACATATTCCACATATTCCCAATTCCAAATCTTCCCTGTGTCAGACATATCGTAACTATCTACACCACATATTCCCAATTCCAAATCTTCCCTGTGTCAGACATATCGTAACTATCTACACCACATATTCCCAATTCCAAATCTTCCCTGTGTCAGACATATATCGTTGGCTATCTACACTACATATTCCCAGTTCCAAATCTTCCTGTGTCAGACATATCGTTATCTATTCACACCACATATTCCCAATTCCAAATCTTCCTGTGTCAGACATATCGTATCCATCTACACTACATATTCCCAATTCCAAATCTTCCTGTGTCAGACATATCGTGTTCCATCTATCTACATATTCCCAATTCCTAAATCTTTCCTGTGTCAGACATATCGTATCTATCTCCACATATTCCTGTGTCAATTCCAAATCTTCCTGTGTCAGACATATCAGAACTATCTACACTACATATTCCCAATTCCAAATCTTCCTGTGTCAGACATATCAGAATCTATCTACACTACATATTCCCAATTCCAAATCTTCCTGTGTCAGACATATCGTAACCATCTACACCTATATTCCCAATCCAAATCTTCCTGTGTCCAGACATGTCTGTGTTATCTACACTGTCCAAATTCCCTGTGTCAGACCATGTCGAATCTATCTACACTACATATTCCCAATTCCAAATCTTCCTGTGTCAGACATATCGTGAACCATATCCACTACATATTCCCAATTCCACTTCCTGTGTCAGACATTCCAAATCTTCCTGTATTCGAATTCCAAATCTATCCACTTGTCCAGACATATCGTAACTATCTACCCATATTCCCAATCCAAATTTTCCTGTGTCCAGACATATCGTGAATCCATCTACACTACATATTCCCAATTCCAAATCTTCCCTGTGTCAGACATATCGTGACTCATTCACACTACATATTCCCAATTCCAAATCTTCCTGTGTCAGACATATCGTGACTATCTGCACACATATTCCCAATTCCAATCTTCCCTGTGTCAGACATATCAGTGACTATCTGCACTGTTATTCCCAATTCCAAATCTTCCCTGTGTCAGACATATCAGAACTATCTACACTACATATTCCCAATTCCAAAATCTTCCTGTGTCAGACATATATCGTGTTCCATCTTCACTGTCATATTCCCAATTCCAAATCTTCCTGTGTCAGACATATCGTAATCCATTCACACTGCACTGACATATTCCCAAGTTCCAAATCTTCCTGTGTCAGACATGTGTGTCTATCTACCACTACATATTCCCCAGTTCCAAATCTTTCCTGTGTCAGACATATCGTGAAACTATCTTCACACCACATATTCCCAATTCCAATCTTCCTGTGTCAGACATGTCGTGACTATTCCACACCACATATTCCCCAATTCCAAATCTTCCTGTGTCAGACATATCAGTCTTCCGCGATGGGACATATGGTGACTCCATGTTCCATCTTCCTGTGTCAGACATATCGTAACTATTCACTGCACATATTCCCAATTCCAAATCTTCCCTGTGTCAGACATATCGTGAACTATCTGTCACTTGATAGGACATATTCCCAATTCCAAATCTTCCCTGTGTCCAGACATATCGTAACTATCTGTCTACATATTCCCAATTCCAAATCTTCCTGTGTCTACACCACATATTCCCAGTCAAATCTTCCATATGTCCATATCTTTCCATGTTCCATATTATCTACACTTAATTCCAAATCTTCCTGTGTCAGACATATCGTGAACTATTCACACCACATATTCCCAATTCCAAATCTTCCCTCTGTGTCAGACATATCGTGAACTATCTACACTACATATTCCCAATTCCAAATCTTCCTGTGTCAGACATGTTCAATTCAACTCTTCCTGTGTCACTGCATATTCCCAATTCCAAATCTTCCTGTGTCAGACATATATCTATCTTCACCACATATTCCCAAATCTGTGTGTGTGTCAGACATCCATGTGTCGTATTCACACCACATATTCCCAATTCTTTCTTCCTGTGTCAGACATATGAGACATATCTGCACTTACATATTCCAATTCCAAATCTTCCTGTGTCATATCGTAACTATCTGCACCACATATTCCAAGTTCCAAATCTTTCCTGTGTCAGACATATCGTATCTACACTACATATTCCCAATTCCAAATCTTCCCTGTGTCGGACATATGGTGACATCTGCACTTTCATGTTCCCAATCCAAATCTTCCTGTGTCCATCTACACTACATATTCCTAATTCCAAATCTTCCCTGTGTCAGACATATCGTAACTATCTACACTACATATTCCCAATTCAAATCTTCCCTGTGTCAGACATATCGTAACTATCTACACTACATATTCCCAATTCCAAATCTTCCCTGTGTCAGACATATCAGTAACTATCTACACTATATTCCCAATTCCAAATCTTCCCTGTGTCCAGACATATCGTAACTATCTCACACATATTCCCTAGGACATATTCCAAATCTGGCCTGTGACATATTCCCAATTCCAAATCTTCCTGTGTCAAGACATATCGTGAATCTGCACTACATATTCCCAATTCCAAATCTTCCTGTGTCAGACATATCAGAACCCATCTACACCATATATTCCCAATTCAAATCTTCCCAGAATAGTGTGATATCGCGTAACTATCTACATACATATTCCCACAAATTTCCTGTGTTCAGCTGAACGTATTAACTATCTTCCCCTGTGTCAGACATACAGATATTCCCAATTCCAAATCTTCCCTGTGTCAGACATATCCAACTGTCTACACTACATATGGGAATCTTCCCTGTGTGAGACATATCAGTAACTATCTACATGGCAGACATATAATGTCCCATGTAAATCGTAATCCAACCCAATTCCAAATCTTCCCTGTGTCAGACATATCATGTTCTATCTACACTACATATTCCCCATTCTTCCTGTGTCAAGACATATCGATATCTACACTTTCCCCAAAAGTGTGTCAGACAGGTTTGATGTAGTTGCATGTGGCTGAGCAGCTCCTCCACTTTCTATAGATGCCATTCCATTCTTAGTTGATAACATTGTCAGCTTCATAAATCTATGTCAAAAATACCAGTGCTACCGATACAGACAAGGCTATGAAATCATGACATCACATCCATCTTCCCAAGGGAGATAACAGTTCACCTGTCAACAATGCATGATTGGCAACAGCTAAGCCCGATACAAACTATGAATTCATATCGCCAATCAGTTCGCCAACAACTTCAGGATGTGTATGTCAAAAGATGTACGCCACCAATTTTCCAAATTTCTTATTCGACTTGTTAACTAAAGTGCTCAAATGCATTTGGTAATTATTTCAGTTGTTTTCACACATGCTACAAAATGCATAAATATTCTTGAACATACTTTTTATTCTGACATAAAATCATTCTTGATCAAATCTTGTGCCTCTGGTAACTAAGCAACTTATTTTTCATTTTCTTGAACAGAACATGTCTTGTTTCAGTGCCATCATGTTTTTACAGCCAATGCAAATGGCCAGTGAGGAAGTAGGGCTGGGACGGGTCCCATCCCGATTTTCTACCCGGCACCCCACCCCTTATTACCCTACCCTACCCGGATACCCGATATGTTAATTCCTGACGCCAAATTTGTAAGAAAGGGCAATATATTCTTCAGCCCGAAGGCTCATTGTTTTCTTTCAATGTGTTAACCATGTATTATATTCAAAAAGAGTGATTGTAAATAATGTCTAAATCTTCAAACACAATACAACCTTTAAATCATGAAAAAATAACATATTACATTGTTTAACCTATTAGTCACATGATCATAACGGGTCCGGGTACTGAGATAGGTACCCGGGTGCAACTCATTATCCACCCGACCCGGGCATCCGGGTTACCCGTCCCAGCCCTATGAGGAAGAATCGGGTCACAGTGAGTCAGAAAGTGAATCTAGTTTTACGCCGCACTCAGCAATATTTCAGATATATGGCAGCGGTCTGTAAGTAATCGAGTCTGGACCAGACAATCCAGTTATCAACAGCATGAGCAGTGATCTGCGCGATTGGGAACCGATGACATATGTCAACCAAGTCAGCGAGGCTGACCACCTGATCCCGTTAGTGGCCTCTTACGACAAGCATGGGTTACTGAAGATCAATATTCTAACCCGGACCTTCATGGGTATATTGGGACACACAAGGGACATAACTCTTAACAGCCATTACTGGCTCTATCGAGCAACAAACCTAGAGGCTAGTTCAGCAAGGGAAGAAACTGGACATTTACAGTAAGTTAACTCCCTTGCCTCAGGAAGACGTAGACAAGTGTGCCTTGCCTGAGCGACGTAAACCACTGTCAAGCATAGAGGTAGAAATATTGCAAACCAAGGCAAGTATCTCTATAGATGTACCCAATAGAACATTGATCACATTAAGCAAGTTTAAGATGGACAATCGCCATCAGCCTGGAAGTTTCCTTACCTGCCCCTCCCTGATGATTGATGAGATGAGTCTGACTTGCACGTGTCCTGGGCCAGTGTGGGAACATGGGGGTGTGATCACAACAATGTCAGACCCGTCTGCTGTGGGCATTTCAAAGGAATCTGGCCCAAGGGAGATAACCTCGTTCACCTGAACTGGTGGACACACCAGGGACGGCAATGACTGCAACACAGGAATATGTCCAGGTCATGCCTACATTCCATAAACCTGTAATCCTGCTGTTTAATATGGAGCCTTCTCTACTCAGTATCAAATCTTATCAGGAGTTCCTTCTGGATATCCTTCTCTCTCAATGATATGCTGTAGAAAAAAGAGTGAGTATGGTTTTATGCTGCTTATCAGTGTTCCAGCAATATCGCGGGCGGGGGACACCAGAAATGGGCTTCACACATTGCACCTATGTGGGGAATCAAACCCTTCGCATCTTCGGCGTGATGAATGAACACTTTAACCACTAGGCTACCCCACCGCCCCCAGTTGAATAAAGAAGCACCTCTATCGCACAAATAACAACATTAACTGAAGAAATGTGGGGAATGACAAGAAAACAAAATGTTACTCATATTTCCATGGATATGCTAGTATATTAGCAACGAGACTAGAGGTACTGATAAACTACATTTAGAAATCTCTCATACATGTACATTAACAAAAGATCTATAAAGTCTGTTTTCTTGGGTTCAAGGAAAGTGATGGAAACTGAAAAATGTTGTTTGAGCCTTTTTTCAATTTAAGTAAAAGCCCTGCCTTTTTCCTGAATTTCCTGCCTTATATTCGCAGTCCACAACTTGAAGTCGATTTTATCAACAAGGGCGGATATGGCTATACAGCTTCTTAATTACAATATGCAATATTTCAGAGTAGACACCTTTATCAAACAAGTGATGTCAAGGTCATACCTTCATTATTTCAGTTTCAGTGATCCCCCAGAATGCTTTGCAAAACTTGACGTCTGCTGTCCGAGTTGTGTAAACAACCTGCAAGGAAACACATTTCAAAGTAGTCTATACATTTATCAGCAATGATTAATATCCTTTTTTTATATCAGCTTTCCAAAATAAGCAAAAAGGAATAGCCCATGACACATTCTTTCTGTGTGCCAATCAGCAGAGACGTCAACACAAGGCCCTAAGTCATGGTTGATAGCTGACTTGCAGACCATCTCTGTTTCTCTATAGTGGTTGGCAGATTACCAGCAATTGACAGAGCATTACCACACAATGACACAGCTGTTGAATCTTCGCTCAATGATCTTACACTTATCCATGCACATCAACATCAGCTAGTGCTAAGTCAAATTGACAAGAAGACCATCACACTTGTAAGATTGCAACATGTAAAGGCTTTTCAAATTTGAAAGTAAAACATTCATTTCAACATAGAAATACACATTATTTTTAAAATATACAATACTTTATTGTAGTACTGTTGTAAAAAATGTGAAATTCCGATTAATACTGATTTAAATTTTTCCAAACAGAAGGCTATGCACCTTTCTCCAATTTTGTCCTTGCATTTTCATTTGTCTCGATCTCTCTCATGGGCAGATGCCTCAAAAAGCAAAGGACACAAAATCACAAGGGCTTGTAACTCAGAAAACTGGTATCAAGTTGGATATTGTCACTGATGGGGCCCCAGTACTAAATAAACACCATGATGCCAGTTTTGTTGTGTTACCAGCCTTTTTACACAAAATGATACGTCAAATTCCATTTCTTTACTCTTCTTTATGCCGACAACTGCTATATCCAAACTAAATTAGTATTTTCACTTTAAAATGATACTTGACAAAATGATACTTTTGTTTCGTGAACTGCTACACCCATGTAACACAATACACCATTTCATGTCTTCAGTAACCCAGGAATAATGGAAAATCACTTCTCTGTCCTCTGTCTTGTGGATTAATACACCGTGAACAAAGGGTAATGGCACGTGTCTGTCCACTATGATGTCATAGCTACAGATCAGCATTTAGCAGTAGAGGTGTGACAATACAGAAATTTCACGATACGATATGTATCGCGATATCTTGGAACGATATGATTCGTTTCGAGGCATATCACAATATGCTTCTTTAGTTATTTTCTTTTAAAAATCACATTTTAATAGCAAGAAATTTTGACATAACCGTCAATATCTAATGAAAATTAACAATTTTAAGGTCAACGATACATATCACGATACGAAAAAATGTGTCGATATATTTATTGTCAGATAAAGTATTACGATTATCGATACTACGATATATCGTCACAGCTCTATTTAGCAGGGATTTCATGATACCTACGTACTTGATACCTCATGGCTGCCTCCCACACTAACCTGCTGTGCTCGGAGTTCAGGGTTCATCCAATACTTCCCACTGCTAACAAGGGAGGTGGCTAGCTGCATCACCTGCGAGTTTTCTTGATAACCCTCAGAGAAAGATGCCATTGCTATGGCAACAGCATGAAGAGGACGCTGCATTGAGTCACAGAACTGCAAAAATGTTCAGAAAGGCATTAGTAAAAATAGAAATCAAATGAATGACTCTGGAAGAAACCAGTTAGTAAATATAGACATATTGATGTTGTAATCTTACTCAGCAGAGGACTACAGTATGTAATTATCTCATGACTGACAGACTGACTGAACTGAGTTTGGTTTTACCCCGTTAGCATCATTCCAGCAACATCATATAGGACATCTAAATGATGTTGTAATTGTACTCATAGCAGATTCGTGTAATTATGAGTCAAGACTGACAGAAGGACTACATAAATGGTCTGCAGAGATGGCTAGTCTGAAACTAGTACTCAAAGTTTTCTCCCAAAGCAGTGTCATCATGAATTAAGATGTGCCATCCCATGACCCCACCCCACCCCACCCCAGATGATATTGAGAATACTGATAAAAGTGGCAGCCATATACCCCAACAAACTTCACCATGAACTGAGGACATGTCCTGTGTGGGCATGTTGCATCCTCCCCAATGCAGGGGTGTACAAGGACTCTAAGTCTTATGCAAGAAATGGTAAAATGTATACAAATGATGTGCTTGATATGTTGGTTGGTTGCTTGTTGGCTGTTTTTTAATGTCACTCTTATCAATATTCCAGCTATAAATACATGCATCTGGACAGGACATTCCAGAAAGCACCATCATGAGCATGGATCCTGTATCGATCAACCAAGCCAGTGAGTCAGACTGTTTAACATCTTCTTAGCATGGGTCGTTTCCTCTTACGACAAGCATCTGTTATATTGACAAACTATGAAAAGTAACTTCTTGCAATATTTCGATACAGATTCTTGTATAGTTTTTCCTGCTTGACAACTCATGAAATAATACAACTTATTTTCCATAAAGTTTGTCAATATAGTACTTCCCGACTTCTGGAACGCAACTCAAAGAAGCATGTGTTGCTGAAGAATGACTATTCCATTCTGCTTGTAGCATGTAAAGCAAGTGAACCAGTACGTGTGTCTGGATGGTGAGAGCATGTGTTGCTGAAGAATGACTATTCTGTCACATCTATATCATGTATATTCAATAAAGTCCAGTCTGTAGCCACTAAATGGAAGCACACCTGGGTTGGAAATGTTTTGCTTCAGTTTGACACAGGACACTAATTACAATGCTCTGGTGTGCCGTCTAGTACCTCTGTGTTTCAATAAGAATACATTTTACATGGATTCATCTTCAACATTGTTTGACTTCGACCCATCAGTAGTGGTGGTCCGATTAAATGAATAATCGAAGATTGGACGCAGGGACTAAACGACCAAAAAAGTGATCATGTTTTCTCATAATCGAACACAAACAATTTTGGAACACTTGTTTGCATTAACAATATTTTCACAAGGTTGGTTTTTGTCTGTGTCATTAAATTTATATTTCATAAGCACTACACACTTGTTCCAAGTCATGATTGAATTTATTTTAAAGACTCCAGGAGGTTTATGTTCCTAACATTCTAGTCATGCTTTAAAGATGTGAAATTTGCAAATCCATTTAGTTCAATTTGCTAAAAACACCAAAGAACTACATGTTTTTTTGTGTGCATTAATAAACATAACAGGAAAATTTTATAAATGGCGCAAACCAATTATTTTTGATGATCGATGGGATGTAATGAACCAATCATCAATTATGATATCTTAACCAATTCCCAACACTACCCACCAGCAGTAGACAATTTTGCTCCCTTCCATTTAACGGTGTACATGTGCTCTATTACCATGTGTTTGTACTGTTTAGTCCAAATGACATTGTATAATACACATCATCAAAAGTTATTTTGTTGGGTCCACTTCAATTTCTACATGTGCCCTAAAACACCAGGAACATAGTTCATCATAACCATGTGTTTGGGACTTAACTACCAGGTCTCTCAAACCTTGCAAAATAATCATAAGTAGAAGTAGTAGCAGGCCTGATGAGGTGAGGCAACATCATGATGAAGCACCTGTGAGGTGAGGTGATATGGGGTTTAACGTCGTGCTTGAGAATATTTCGCTCATATGACCACGTGCATGCGTGTGTATGTGTATGTGTGGCTGCTTGTACTAGCCCAGACTTAAGCTGGTTTTATAGTGCTAGCCCACTGAGATACCATGCCACAGTGAAGCATGAATACCCCACTCAGACACATCATACTGACTCCGAGCCGACCAGTCCTTGTTGTACCCATTAATGCCGAGCGCCAGGCAGCGACCAACAAGTACCATATTTTAACGTCTTTTGGTATGACGCCGTCCGGGATCGAACCCGCGACCTTCTGCTCTCCATGCGGACGCTCTAACCACTACACCACGGAGGCGGTTGATGAAGCACCTGCAAAGCCATGTGTGCGTGTGTGATGCTTGGACAAGGCTGATATTATAGTGTTACTCCTCACTGAGACACCATGCACACTCCACTCACACATAAAAGACCAGGACAACCAATCCTCTGTTTATTCTCTTAACACCAAGTGTCACTGTCAGGCCGGGAAACAACAAGTAACATCTGCTTATGTGTGACACTGCCGGGACTCAAACCACTTACTTGACCACATAGGAACTTTGTATTTAGTACTGGGGATGGCCGCGAGTTCATTTTCTAGTGTGCTAGAGATCACTTCATAAGATGTTGGGGTGTGCCCTTTGGATTTAATGTGTAACACGGCATGATTTAAATGTGTGTCCTACTTTCTTGCAATTATAGTGTTTCACTCAATGTCACCCTGGGTCACTGAACAAAAGGTCAGTCTAACATAACATAATACAACAGATTATAATCCATTTGCCGGGGAAAACCTTCAAAGATGATTAATAACCATGGATGACATGTTACTATGTGAAACATAATAAATTGCTGAAATATATACACGGATAAGTTTTTCCTTTCCAGTGCTACTGGTACCATCTTGTTCAGCATGTAGAGGTTCATGTTTATAATCATCATAGATCATGCTCGGAGTTGTGGTCGTGTGAATGGTCAATATACAGTAAACATCAATTAATTTCACATTTTGTTTTACTGTTTTAACTGTGCAGCTGTCACACTACAACAAAGTTCAAAGTCTGCATTAGGCCGGATCCGTTATTTCTTGTTTTACAGATCCGCCTTTTGTATTTTTCCAATAAATAATAAGAATAAGAAAAAAAATAAAAGTTAATTTTTCCCGGTCAAATAAGAAATTCCTAATGTTAATGTGATATAAGAGAAATACTCTTGAAATCAGTGTGAAATCTAAACTCACTCAACATATTTTTAGTTGATCTAAACAAACCAAAAGAGTTAACGAGGGAACTCATGTGGGTTTTTGCTTTCACTGGTGATTTAGGTTTTCAGAGAACAAAAATCCGTAAAACAAGAAATATAATTGGTCTGGCCTTAATTGTAATAAGATTTGTTGTGAAGCATTGCAAGAAAATGTCAGTTGCAGCTGATAACAGTTCACTTTGATCAGTGACGTATCTTGACCTGCTCAAAGGCTTGAAGCCAATGTTTCAGCAAAGTCAGAAAAAAAATAGCAAATAGGAAGAAATATGTTTCTCTTTTATGTAAATATAGATAACATATATCAGCATATGATGGCATGGTTAAATTGACCTGTATTCAACCGATAACAGTGCCATAAAGTAGGAAGAGGCTTAACGAGTTGAATTGTTACATGGAACACCATGTTAAAGGGCAGTGCTAAGATACATCATAACAAAGTAACTTAAAACAATCCAATTTTGATAGAATAATAGAATAAACAATTTGACTGCCGATGGAAGTTGCTTGAAATAAAAACTACTTCCCCATCAACAGTACAAACTACAATCTGCAGGAAATGATGCTAAATATCATCTTCCAGGAAACTCAATGAGTGAACTGTTATGTTATGATGATAACAGCAAATCACTTTTATCATATAACACACAATATAACTAGGGGTGAAATGGTACACTCTTACCATGGTACGGTTCGTATTAACGGTACAAGGCCTTCGGTTCGGTATATGAGATATGATCATAATGCAGAAAATTGACAAGAGCAGTCTAGCTAAAATATGCATAGATTTTGACAAAATGATTCAGTTTCTAGACATTTTAGAAAAGGTTTGAAAAGGTTAATAAAATGTCGGTACAAAAAAAGAAAATACCAAATTTTTGGATTGCATTACGGTTTACTGAACTGAGGACAAAATACTGCGGTTCTACTAATATCGCAGTATACTGTTTCATCCCTAACTGACTGGGTTTAGTTTTACGTCGTTTTTAGCAATATTCCAGCAATATCACGGCGGGGAAATGGGCTTCACACATTGTGCCCATGTGGGGAATCGAACCCAGATCTTCGGCGTGACGAGCCAACACTTTAACCACTAGGCTACCCCACCGCCCCTGTTTCATCCCTAAATATAACCAGGTTTTTATTGTTCTTTAAACATGATTAAAAACTTTTTTCCCTTTTTCTATTTCCATTTCACGTCAACATGTTCAACATATGGATTAATCATACAGTAAACATAAACACATAATGAACTGAAATAGCTTCTGGTTGATCTCTAGATACAGTATCTCTGTACTGACACTGATGGCCTATATTATATACATGTGGATATATGATAACTGTGGCACACTGACCATCCCTCACATGTCCACCCACGTTAGATAGATAAACATGATCATGGTCCCTTAATACCAGTCAGTGAGTGACTGTGTATAAACATTGGATCATTGCCATTTTAACAGCAATGATATATTTAATTGGAGATCATGATAAATGCATAATAGATATCTGGGTCCAATATATCTAATTCAAGCAATTTATCATGTTATTTTACAGTTTCATTGCAACCTTTCACATCCCCTTTGACACAGACTGAGTATTTCCCAGAAACAATGTTGAACTGCATCATGTGCTGTGTACCAGGTGGCAGGCTTTCAATAACACGTTAGATGGTGCCTAGGTGGATAATGATATTAATATGATGAAAAAATATACTTTAGCATCAGCAATGTTACAAGCGACTACTTCGTCTGCCAATCTGATAATGTATATTAATGTAAAGGAAATACCTACATGCTACTTTCATTATCATACACAAACACCTGTGGTTATTTGTTGTGGTACATAGAGTGCTTCATTACTGAATCTTCAGTGCAGGGACAGATAATTAGAAGAGGTCAGTCGGTATACTGTACACATGTCTAATGGTGAGTGAGTCAGTTTGGTTTTACGCTGCACTCTGCAATATTCCAGGTATATGGCGGTGGTCTTTAAATGATCGAGTCTGTACCAGACAATCCGGTGATCAACAGCAAGAGCATTGATCTATGCAACTGGGATACGGTGACATGTGTCAAGCAAGTCAGCGAGCCTACCGATTGTAGGAAAAAAAGTCCTTGGAAAAAAAGTCCACGGTAAAAAAGTACCAGAAAAAAAGGATTCCAGAAAAAAAAGTCCTGATGTAATAAAAGCCTATTTATTCATCAACCTTGAGGTCAAAGATTTAAGAAAAACATTGATAACTCACACATATGGGTTATTAAATAGATAATTTGATCTTTCATCTTTTTTCAATGATGCTCATAAAAACATGAAGTACTCACATACAAAGGGTGATTAAAAGGACTTATTAAATATTTAGATATGTCTTTGATCTTTTTTTCCTAGCCAAATTTAGGATTTTTTCGGTACGTTTTTCGAAGACTTTTGTTCCGCACACCACCTGACCCCATTTGTCGCCTCGTTATGACAAGCATGGGTACTGAGATCAGTTCTAACCCGGATCTTCACGGGTCATGTCTAATGGACACCCGGACCAACATAACTTAATGACCACAGTCAGACATATTTTACTGGTCAGTATGTCACATAAAACATAAACACAATTTATCATATTGATGATAATGATGACAGACAGTGATTCAAGACAAGAACACGGAGTAGCCTCTATTGGTCCAAATTTCCCTCTTAAATTATCTGGTCAGTTAACATGTATGCTTATTTAATCATCAAGACTTCATTGTCATGGCCACCATTTTAAATTGCTTGTAACTTCATTTGTTTGCTTGTTTTTTCACTGGAAATATTTTGTAAATATTTTATTCAAAATATAGATACAACTGTTGTAGGAATTTTACATGGACATTTAAATGTTTATAAGCACCCCAAGAAGGATCTCCTTTGAAAAAGAATTCATTTGTTTGTTTGTTTTCCACTGGACCCTTTGAAAACTTGGAGTCCTTGATACTATCAGAGAGCAAGTTAGAGGGTGCATTAGTGTAACTTTCAGCAAGTCCCTAACATTTTGAGATTAACACAATATAACATTTGGTGTATGTTGGTGAAACCTAATAAAATGTTTACACATGCTTCTTGTTTACACAGCAATTAATCATCTAAAGAATGAGTATGAGAAGCCTGTGACAGTGAGACCATATGTAGCAGATTTGCTCAGAAGGTTGAAGGTTATTATGTAACACTGACCTCTGGTCATTCTCCGGGTGATGTAATCTACCTGGCCTCACCCCATGTTTCTCAGCCAATGACAATGACACTTTTGTGTGACCCCACATCACACCACATATTACACCAACATAGCTAAAGTCTAATTATATAAACAAATGAATATGTTTTAAGAACCTGTTTGACATGTTTGTTTTACTACTTCACAGCATATAACATATTTATTATTATGTTCATACAGAATATACAGAACTTGTTTCTTACTCCAAACATGATGTAACTTGATTTATATGCTTTGTACAGCAAATACATCTTATAGACTTTGTTTATCATTTTGCTCTTTATCAGGAGCATGCTCAGTACTCTGTTTATGTTAAAAATGATATGGCACATGAAAATGGCAAATAAACATGATAGACAACATCCAAATTCACAGCACAGGATTATATATTACTTCTTTGAGTTTGAGTGGCATTTTAGAAGTTGGGAAGTACAATACTGACAAACTTTTTGGATAACAACTTCTTTTATTTTGTGAGTGCAATGTTTCGATAGAGATTCTTGTATTAGTAACTCATGCAATACATGAAGTTGTTACACATACAGTTTGTCAGTATTGGCTTATATATGATCATGCAAACTTACAAACTGTAGTTTCCTTTTAGCATGTTTGGTTTAATATAAGTCTGTACATGTACTTGCTAAAAGGAAACCACTGTTTGTAATTTTACATGATCATATAAGCCATTACTGACAAGCTGTATGTGTAACAACTTCATGTATATGGTGAACAAAAAATACATATTCACAAATCAAGTAGACAATACATTCTCATTTCATCTTGTTCATAGGATCTTTTATTTACTTGGTGCCAATACCATGGGAATACCATCACACATTGTTTTGAATGTAAAAAATGGAATTACCAAGTAAAACTGAAATTGAAAGTGAGCCTAAATTTGAGTTCGGTTGGGAGTACATTCATGAACAAATTAAGTATGTACTCACCTGGAATCCAAGACAACGACCATAAAAACAATCTTGATTTAACATCTCAACTTCCTCCATCAATTGCTCTGCAATATTTTCATTCAGATTTTCCTCATCTGCAAACAGGTTTCCATCTTGACAGTAGTTGATGAGCTTGTTAGCATAATAGAGACATGCTCTCAGCTGGCCTATGGTGCTGACATAAGCTTCAACCTCTTTACAGTAGTGGGCTCTTCTGAACAGTATTGAATCTCTGTTCACCACAATATACCTCAGCAGCTGGGCTAAATGCAAACAACATTTATAAACAATCCTTATCAAACTTCTGTAACCATTTCCTTTTAGGTCCGGTGACACGTCAAAATCAGACAGTCTTGGCAGTAGGCCAGCTATGTTAGGCTCGATACCCATGTCCAAATATTCGTACAAGAGACAAAATGACGTGTGATATTTAGCATGGTGGCTCTGGTTCCCATTTTGAAAGTATTCAATATTGCTCAAAGCCAGTGATTTCAGTTCCTTGATAAGTGCTGACAGCAAGCGACCGGGATTGTCGTTTTCAAGAGACATCTTAAAGTTATTGTTTCGTCTTCTTCTATCCACAGACTTGCCTGTGTTGATCTGTTGCTTCAAGCACGCTACTGTCACACCACCTCTTCAATTCTCAGCGACAAACTTGACAGCTGATAAACAGTGTTTACTTCTATCAGCAGCCATTTTTTAAGTTACGGAGCGAATGTTGTTCGCTTCGTGTCATTCGGGAAAGCTCGTTGGAATCCGTCAATCGGTTGCATTTACACGAAGAACGAGTCATATAAGATCAGTAAAAGAATCATACATGTATTGCGCAGTAATAAATAATATAAATTGTGACAAAATTAAATTAAAGATATAGCGATAGAACTTGAAATGCAATAATACATACACAACCGGGATAATTTTATCTTCATTGGAGTGTAAAATTTTGACCAATCGCCTCGTGGTTTCTCATTCACTGCCCAAATGCGAGACGAAAACAAGGATTATCTCGACACAGCTGAGAAAGCTTCGAAACATTTCCTGAGAACGCTTTGCGCAGTTCGTCGGAGATAAATTGGTGTGCGTGTACCTCTCGCTCGTTAATAACAATACATCACAAGACACGGTCTAGCCTTTCATTTCATGTAATGTCATTGACAGTATAGCCAATAACGTTTTGTTTATTTTGACATTTTGGTCCATGTAACTTGTTATTGGATGTAAATTCATGTCCCAATATGGCCGCTTGATCACTCAAGACGCCTAACCTACCTACACATATAATTCAGTGTTTGCACTTCAAATTAATGTTTATGGGCTCAGCGGTACCTTGTCTTTCTGCATTTCAGAGCATGAGATCATCGGGGCATCATGACAGTTGCAATATTTTAAAAACATAAAGGAAACCAAAGGGAGATCGCGTTCGTCGTCTCCAATTAGTTGATCCAATCGTCTTGATAAGTGTCTTGCAACATCTTGCAAGATGGCAGAAGCATCAGATCAGGAGGTTTCAAGCACAAACAACAACATAGAAGGAAATGGACTGTGCAGTGGCTCAGGGAGCAAGAACGATTTTGTTGAGTTTGACGACAAATCCAACCTCCCAACATCAACCACAAGCGATGATTTGTCAGAGTCCAGCATGACATCGAGGGACAACTTCACGCTAGGAACTCTGAAGAAAGATGACAGTGGAATTGACATGGAGAAGTCACCAACTACAAGTGCGAAAGAGATGTCAGATGCAGAGTGCAGTGAATCTCTGAATGACAGTGCGGCTTGTTCACAAAGTGAATCGGTTAGTGATGTCAAATGGGAAGATGTGAAAGCTAAATCTGATGAAACTTCAGATGTTGGCATTGATTCATCCGAAAGCACAGGTATGCGTGATTGTAATGACACCGATGATAGTGAAAATGTTGCTACTTCCAATATGACTGAGTCACCCATTGCTAGTCCAAGTCATGATGTCAGTGATACAAATATTGTTGCAGATGACTCTGAAACTAACACCGGATCCCCCGGAACACGGAAACGAAGGCATGAACGTAGCAATTCATCATCAAGTGACTCTGAAGACAGTGATAATGAAACTGCCGACACCAGCAAGAAGAAAGAATCTGAGTCTGAAAGTGAGGATGAAATGGACATTGATGATGATGGTATCAGACCGCGTCATAAATGGCGAGCTGTGTCAGACTTGCGTGATCGGGAAAATGGCTACACCAATAGATCACCTCCATCCTTATTTCGTGAGAAGATTCATGCTAGTCTTCAAATGGTACAAAGACTAAAGTTACAGTATAGGATGGAATATCACGAGGGATGTGTCAATGCTTTACACTTCAACAGAATCGGTAACTCTTTCAGCACTTATTGTTTTGCTTTCTTTTATGATACACATTGCAAATACAGTCAAATCCCGATGAGTCGAATCGCTGAGGACCAAGTAATAAATTCGACTTATCAATGTATTCAAGACATAGGTATGTCTATGAGGGTAGAAAAAAAGATGATCCAGTCCTAATTCCTCCGCCTAAGCATTTGTTTATCTAATGATTTCCATATCACTAATAGGGACACCTTATCAGTTCCTGTCTGATTAGCACAGACAGTGATTTCCGTAAAAAATCACTAATCTGCCATTTGAACTCACCCGTCAATGGCGGAAAGGTGTGAGCCGGGCTGGTTTGTTAATTGGATCAGTTTGCTACACCAATCAACTTCTCATTGACTGACTTCGGCTTATGTATACAAGATTGCTGTTGTTTTAATCTCATGGGACCAAATTTCCTTCTCGAGTCATCGTGTGTATTTATGAGACGAATTCGTGTAGCCGGTATTCAAATGATGACAACTATAACAGGGAATGGTCGGGACCGACAGGTACTTCGAGTTATGCATAATATTCGGTCGCCCAGGCATTCGACTCATCGGGATTTGACTGTATACCCTTCAGGTTTTTACCTAGCTTTACAAAACTGGGGTTCCAAATCCAACTAGAGCAACTCCTGACAATAAATTTCAGCAGGACGTACATGTATGATATATGAGGGTACTGTGAAAAAGTGTATTACTGTAGTGTACTAAACTGCAAGTGACTATAACCATAGGACCTATGTTCCTTTTCAAGAATTTGGTAAATCAGAAGCACATTTCTGCATCCCGTGAAACCATGGCCCCAAACTCGTTACTCATGCCCACTATTCATGCCATGGCTCTTCCCAAACTTCTAAAAAGACATGTAAGCTTAATTTGACATTCTTGGAGAATTGCTCAGTCATTACAAAGAAGCTTGGTAATAAACTAGTTGAAAATAGACTGGAAAGACTTCCGCCCGTATCCCCCCTTATATTTCATTCTTGTCAAATTATATCACCAGAAAATATATACATATATCCTCGTCCAGCATCAGGATGAATTTTAACGTGTTTCTTTAATTGTATCTGAACATACTGAAAGATACATCCAACTTCTGAAAATGCCACTCAGAGTTTGTTTTTTTCTTTATCGTTAAAATTAAGGGGGATATGGGCGGAAGTCTTGCCAATAGACTGACAGTGACATGATGTAAGTGTCCATCGTATTGTTACAAAGGAAATTCCATGCAACTTTTCAAAATCTGATCAGTAGATAATTTAAACTGATTTGTTCCCATAACAAACACTGTGAAATGCAGTGCTGTGTCTTGGAATATTTAAGATGGAGGTAGAAATTCTGTCTGTTATCCCTTCCTCAGAATTTGTATAAGTCATTAGCCCTGGGTAGAAGTATTTTAAAGTGTTTGTGTAAAACATGACTGATATCTGGAACCACACGCAAACTGTAGCACAAATAGTGTTGCGCAACAGAGAAAAATGACCAGTCATCCTATGTGTGAACAAAGGTTGGTAACATACTTCTCTCGCTTCAGATTGAAAAATAGTCTCAATGTCAAAATAAAATTTGCCACCATCAAAGGTAGACAACCATTTCATCACAGGGTTGTGCTCTCAGATTTCCAAGCTCATATTTAATACCTACTCACGTAAAATATATTTCATTCAACATTTAAGCGCCACTTGTGGCATATCAAATCGTTCTTGGCCTCCATTACCATGATCACCCCTTCCAGCTTCCGGTTCAACGAAGTGAAGGAACAAGAGTAAGCAGAAATTAAAAAGAAATATCATATTGCCTAATTTTACCATTAAACTGTTGAAGAATATTTATCTTATCTGCCATCGTTATTGTTAGAAATTTCGTAACATGTATTCTAAAAAACAACACTTCTGACATAGTGAATGAAAGCAAGGGAGGTAAGGATGATTGTCTCCTGCGAACTTTCCATATGGTGGATATGTGATTGAACAAGTATGTTTAGTTAACTCTCCTGTTCCTCCACAGTGGCAATATTATAGTTTGACATCAAACAAATTTTGCTCGCTTCACTCGCATATAGGAAGACTGGTCATTTGTCTCTCTGTTTCGCAACCCTCTTTGCACTACAGTTTGACTGTGTTGAAACAAACAATAGTAAAAAATATGTACGGATAAAGCTTTCAGTTAATTGTAAGCAGTGTCTGTGGAAGGAAATCTTTCCATCACCATGTCCAGGGTTTTCACCTACAAAATAATGTTACATGTTGGAGATATAAGGGTCTCGTTTACATAGTAGGGATGGGTATTGCAGGGAATTTTCATATTGCGATGCGAAAGCATGTATTGCGATATGTATTGCAATATATTTCAAGAATTATTTTTAACAAAAAAAATACTTATAATCGAGTTAATGCTTGATTTGTAAAGCAAAATCACAATGCTTGATTAGGCTTTAAGAAAACTTTTAATCATGGCAAAATATAAATGTAAATAATGTTTGGCACAAATGAAACAAGGAAAGGAACAATTTAAAAAACGGAAATATCCGAAGATTTCCGAGTGTTACGAAGTTTTCCGAATGCATGTCAAAATACCGGTTTTCGATCAGCATATCGCAAAACATATCGTTTCCATGTCTGAACCGGTAAATACCTGTAAACCGGTTATATTGCGCAGCCCTATTACATAGCAATCAAATGCTGCAGAGTACTTTAATGACAGATTTAATCATTTGTTTGATTGCTGAAGTTTTATATTTCTTGTCAAGAATTTGGTTAGTGAATATTATTGTGCGTCACTCAAGATGCAATGTGTAATTTTCTGTAAACTTTTCAGTTAGTGTGTACTGGATGCACATTGTGCATTGCATAAAACCCTGCTTGTCTAGTGCATTGATGGATCTAGGCACAGGATGATCGGGGTCTTTTCTGCTTTAAAATTCGAGGGACCTTCATATATATATAGGGTATGCAAAACCAAAGCATATTTTATGCAATATCTCCATCAGTATTTACAAAGTCTTTGAGAATAGAAATGAACAAACAACTACTTTTGTGCAAGGCAGGTTTTTTCGTCATGGAAATGTCATACAATTCATCAGCTTGAATTGATTAATATTCTGCATTGTGAAGGCATTTGTCAGTGAGGGGAAGTATCAAAGAAACACTCTTACCTTCAAAATGTATGAGCAATCAGTATATATTTCTGGGGATTTATCGGAAACACATGGGGCCTTTGAGAGTGAAATATATAGGACATTATGGATTTTCCTTTGCCAAAGATGTCTGGTTATGGTCTAGATTCACAGGCTATCGAGTCTTTGTGAGGATTGAAGATTTTAAAAAAATGTTTTTGAGATGACCCCTGAATGGAAATGCTTCTCAGTACAATACATTATGACAAGGCCGGACACTTCGGTACCATCGCATGCAATTGATTAAAACTTCATGTAAACATAATCATGGATGATTAGCCTCTTGGCCACCACTCATGACATCTACCAATTGTTTATTGTTATTTCTGCAAGTTGATTGAAAGTTGATTTTGATCCTCAAATAAATGATGTACTCACAAATGGATGACGATAGGTCTGCACAACAACAAAGAATAAAATTATTTCTAATCTTTGATCCTCGAAAAGACACAAGGACCTGTGTCTAGATCATGTAGATTCATCACAACTCATGTTAAAAAAACTTTTAGTGAAAACTAGGCTCTGCTCATGAGTATATGAATATCAAAACTGTATGTTTTTATCCTCTTTTTCAACCATTGAGCCCACAAGAGCTATTCATGAGGAACCACCTTACTCCTCACCATTTTAGCAGTGTTTATCTATGAATTGTACATGAAAGTGCAGCAGTGCAGTTGTTGAAAACATGTTTGCTTTTTCAACCTAACTAATCACTCTTAAACTGCTTAAATGCCTAATGTGGTTCAATATTTTTTGAATTATTTATACAAATTCCCTTGATTTGCATCTTGAAAAATAACAGCCCAGACAATTTTCTTTCTTTCTTTTATTGATTTTACTAAAATAAGTGCACTGGATTGTCGATCACTTATAAAACTGTAAACAAGTTTGTATTTGTTAGGGTTTTACGTTAAGAAATTTATCTCGACTCAAAACAGCAATGTACTAAACAATTTTCAATCAGATGCTTGATTGGCATTTTAGAAGATGATATTTGATGAACATAGAGATTTTTCTGGGTTACATCTTCTTTTTATTCTCGAGTACAACGTTTCAGGGCTTGTTCTGGCCCCATCATCAGGTAAACTGAACAGTAACTGTTAACTCTGGCCGTGACGCCACAATGCTTATGACGTGGTCAATAGATACAGATGACATGGCTAATAGAATACATGTTATTATGAATATATAAGATGTCATTTACTGCAAAATTAATGGATCAATTTAGAACTGTGCAGATACAAATGGTAAGGGGCAATCACGCTTATATCCAACCCTAAAAGGCTGTGTGTATAAAAACTGAAATGTGACTGTGGTGACATCTACATTGGTGAGACAGGCAGACCAGTAGCTACACGTGTGAAAGAACACAAAACTTCAGTGGACAAATCAGATCTGAAATCTGCAGTTTCTGAACACATTATGATTAATCCCCGATCATGAAATTGACTGGGAAACTGAAGTCCTCTCAAAAATATCAGTGACTGGCGAAACGCAAGTTGATTGAGGCTATCTTCATCAAACGCACAAAACCAGCAATAAACAGGGACCAGGGTGTCTACCTCCCAAAATGCATGGTACATAAAACAATAAGACAATACCCTACCTGCGTCCACTGTTCCCATGTATAAAGCTTAATTTCTATGTATACACTGCTATTAGTATTACTTTTACATTCTATACATTTATAAATACGCCTCTGTACATTTCTAATTCAATCAACAATTTTGTATAAGTATCTGCACAGTTCTAAATTGATCCATTAATTTTGCAGTAAATGACATCTTTTGTGAATTAACAGTTACTGTTCAGTTTACCTGATGATGGGGCCAGAACAAGCCCTTTCTTGGCAGTTATGTACACCTTTGACACTTCTTCTGTTTTTCTTTAAATACTCGCTAATATACACAGGAAAATACCTACTGCCATGTAAATTCTCACACTTATTTGAATCTTATAAGGTTCCTTCAGAGGTTTGTGAGGTTGACATTTATAAGTTGTGACCATGGTAGTGGCAATGTTACTCCTCCCCAAGTCTTCTCTAAAGGCTTGTTTTAGTTGTTTTGTTTCAATCTCTAGTTTGCTTTATGTCTATTTTCGAAAATATTGTTGGCTTCTTTTTCAATTGGTAACTCGTGAAGATCCCCGTTAGAATAAGTCTTCAGCAACCCATGCGTGTCGTACGAGACATCTAATGGCATTGGGTGGTCAGACTCCCTGACTTGGTTGACATGTGTCATCATATGCCAGTGGTGTAAATCAGTGCTCATTAGTGCTGGGAATTGGTTAAAATCTCATAATTGATGATTGGTCCACTACAACCGATCAATCATCGAAAATAATTGGTTAGCGTCATTTATCAAATGTTCCTGTTGTCTTTGTAAAAAATAAAGAAAAAACATGTAGTAATTTGGGTTTTTTGCAAATTAAACAAAATCCATTTGCAAATTTTGCATATTTAAAGGATTATTAGTATGTTAGGAACACAGATTTCCTGGATTCTTTAAGATAAATTCAATCATGACTTGGAACGAGCTTGTTGTGCTTATGAAATGTAAATTTAATGACACATACAAAAGCAACCTTGTGAAAAATATTGTTGATGCAAACAAGTGTTCCAAGATTGGTTGCGTTCGATTATGAGAAAACATGTTCGATTGCTTGGTCGTTTAGTCACTGCGACCAATCTTTGATTATTTCAATTAATCGGACCACCACTAGTGCTCATGATGTTGATCACTGAATTGACCCTATTCTAATTATCTGTCCCTGCACTGTAGATTGAGTAATGAAGCTCTCTATGCACCACAACAAATAACCACATGTGTTTGTGTATGATAATGAAAGTAATTGGGTAGGTGGCTTCATGGACAAGTCCAGGGTGGAAGCCACGTTAGTTATACTGTTGTTGTTTCTGACTGAAGGCACACTGCTGGCAAGTGGGTCTGATGATCTCAACATAGTGCTGTGGAACTGGCTCAGGAATCGACCGGCCCTTGTATATGACAGCGGCCATCGGAGCAATGTCTTTCAGGTAAACACTAGTACAGATTACTGGGTTGTTCTGTCACCTCCTGGCTGAAGTGTCTGTGATGCTGAAGGCCCTTGTGTGAATATCTATGTTGTCAAGCTGGCCTTGTTTACAAAGAGATTTGTTGCTAGGCAGCTCCAAAGCAACAACAGCAGGGAGATTACTGTTATTCAGGCACCAAGTAATCAGGCGTTTTTGTCTTTTTTTGGAAAAGTAAATACTTCCCGCTATGATAAACATTCAAAGAAAGAAATTTTCCAAAAAACATAACCAGAGTTACAGATGTTAAATCATGTGGATGGACATGCTGGGCGTCTTAAGATAAGTAAAACGTATAAGTACATCTTAAACGGCCTTCGCTATTATTGGTTTGTATTACAAGGGGGTAAGCGCAGTAGATGGAACAGTGAAACAAATGCATGTGCGGTACGTGATGAGCGTTAACTTAGACCAGCCCTACTTGTTCTCAGTGTTTCATCTAATGTGCATACCCCCTTGTAATACAAACCAATAATAGCGATTTGAAACTATCATCGCTTGTTAAACAACTTTTATCCTAAGTTGAATAAAATTCTGAGATTTGAATGTTCAATTGGCAAGGTAAAATTATGAGGATTGGCAATCTTAATTTCGCTTTAATTGATTTACTTTTTTTGTTTTGAGTGAAATTCATCGGTACGTTTTCACTGCAAACAGACTATAGTGAATTATTAAGTATTCTATCTGTAATACAGATTCTAGGCTCCCCATCAGGACATTTCTTGACTGGTATCTTTGTTGGAGCAGGTTAGTGGATAGTGTTCTTGTGATAGTGAAACATTTCCATAAAACTAAGAAGAATGGAGATGTGTCTATACAACAATCCTCCCCAGGCAAGGGGGTCAAATCACTGTTAATTTCAAGGTTCCATCCTGGCTGTCAGAGGTTGGAAATCAATGGCTCAGTATGAGCGCCACCATTGAGTTATTTCTTTCTATGTCCCTCCCTTCAATCAAACGTGAATCCACCTCTTATGTAACTAGGTTTTGTTTGAAACAACTTAGCAGAGTCCAGTCAATAAAATTTGATTAATAATCAAGATCCATATTGTAATGAAGCAGGTCCTACCTTTCAAAATACTTGAAATCACCTGCAGATGTTTAAATAAAGGAAAAGACTTGGAAAAAGTCTGTTGATGTCATTTTGGCATTGCACAACTTTTGCAAATCCTGCATGTCAGTCACCATGTTTACAAAGTGGATGTCACTTTCTTATGCTTTGACTCTTTAGTCTCACCAAATATACGTCCAATGTTCCAGCCTACTTCAGCTATAAAACCAGGGAATTGCAAGGGTCATGTGAATGAACTGGTGTATTGTTCAATGTTCAGTACTGTAAGATTAAATAATTACTTCAACTACAGTAACTACCAGTATGTGTTTCTTGTCAAGAAGTGAGTGAATATTATTGGGAGTGTCTGAGGATGCAATATGTATTTTTCTTTGCCCGTTCTGTATGTTTTTGCATAGTGGATGAACATTACTCTGTCACATGATACACCGGGTCAGTTAGGGTGGGTACAGGATGGTTATAGCTAGTTAACCTTCTTGCCTTGTGAAGATAAGGAAATATATGTACAGCAAGATTTCTCAGTGCCTGATATTTCACATTTAATTCATCTTCATTAATGTTCTGAAAACATGTCACAGAAGGTTAAATCAAACTGAAGCCTACATAATGTACATTTCACTCTGAATTGTGATTATTGATCTCATGGTTATGATCATAATTATATCATATATGTAATGTGTTTACCCCATTAGGAAATTCTGGGTGCAACACTGACAGTAGCGTACAGGTATCAGGGGTGGAAATAACTTTAAAATTGATTTTTGAAATCGGTACAGTGGCAATGTAAAATCACTTGCCCTAATAATTTTCCCACTATACTGGCCGCTTTCTTATTGATTTTTGAAATAAATAACATTATTAACATTGGAAAGTCAACTGGACACCGGTACAGTGTGATATACAAATTAAAAAAACACTGGACTCGGACATCAGGCAATGGGTAATTTCCACCCCTGCAGTAGCGTACAGGTACATGACACAATAATGAACAATCCCTGTCCTCCGGTTACCTCTGGTAACCTTGTCACTGTTTCTTGAAGATAGGGAAACAGACATTTGTTTGAATATTGAAGACACCTTGATGGTCAACAGTATACATTCTGTATGAAATGTCTCTTGACCCTTGGTAGACAGAAGTGTACAATTTACCACAAAATAGTCAGCAGTGAAAGAAAGGTTGGTATTCATCACATGCACTCTTACTGTGGTCATATTGTTACATTGTGTTATCAGGGCTCCAGATAATTTTTCAACGTCAGGAGTACGTACTCCTTATTTGTTCAATATACGAGTACTGGAAAACCTAAGAGTACATTTAGAGTACTGAATGGAATTTAATGGAGTACCAGTACTCTTGTTTTTCGTTTCATATATGCACCACAACATTGCTACTCTTGTGTAAACAGGTCAATAAACAATAAAACAATCATTTTTCAGATAAATACATCTGTAAATGATTCTAAGACCGTACACCACTGCTGTGGTGCGTATCTGCTACGTTTTCTAAATTATTTCCTACCGTATCGTGCATATTTTGTATCCATACATTCTCCGATACGGCCCTTATCTGGAGCCCTGGTTAGTGTATAAACCAGTGATTAATTAGCACACAGAAAATCTAAATAACTATTAAAATTTTATGAAGTATCTCTTGTTTTGAAAACTGAAGTGAGGACATCGTTGTCCTTAAGTTATCCTCAAATTAAAAAATATGTATCTGAAAAGAGGCTCTTTTATTCCTGTCCCCAGCCTTTATTGTTGTTGTTGACACTGGATCACGCTGACTGTTGCAGGCAAAGTTCATGCCATATAGTGGTGACTGTCACGTTGTGAGCTGTGCACGAGATGGGCAAGTGAGGCTGGCAGAGTTATCTCTGACTGGTGTGTGCAAGGGCACCAAGAAGCTGGCCCAACACAAGGGGGCAGCACACAAGGTAAAGGACATATAGTGACCTCGACCCTCCAGTGATTCCAAGCTGAGTGTATTGCTTGTACATGATACACTTAAGATCCCATAAGGGTACTCTCAGAAATGTCAAAGAAAACTTTTGACTATATTCTTGTATGAAGCCTCTGATGAATGTGCTTCAGCACAAACAGATGAAACAAAGAAGTCTTAAACATGCTTGTTATGTAGCTCATTTGAAATCAGACTGACCGATTCCAAAGATTTCTAAAACATATTCTACCTGTTGGCATTCCAATGGACGCGGCTCATCCTAGTAATATGTTCCTTGTCGTACAGCTGAAAACAAGACGTTTCTGTCCTTGCTGTTAACCAGATTATTGTATGTTTGTGCAGCTGGCCCTGGAGTTTGATTCACCTCACTTGTTTCTCAGCTGTGGGGAGGATGCAATGACATACGAGATGGATCTGAGACAGGACAAGCCGAACAAGTAGGTTGGCTTCCATCTTTCCTTGGGGCGGTGGGGTAGCCTAGTGGTTAAAGCGTTGTCTCGTCACGCCGAAGGCCCGGGTTCGATTCCCCACATTGGCACAATGTGTTAAGCCCATTTCTGGTGTCCCCCGCCGTGATATTGCTGGAATATTGCTAAAAGCGGCGTAAAACTAAACTCAGTCAGTCCATCTTTCCTTGACAGAATCACTCATGTAGACAACCAGTATTGGCCCCGGCACCAAGTGGAATGGCCAGGTGGTGTTCACACTTGTTGTTTGTTCTTGATGCCTCTGACCTACGAAGGTGATGTGTTGCTGACTGTGACATGACACAAGAAGCATGAAATAAAAAAACTGATTAATCTTCTGCTTCTCACTAGTTGTCCAAGCAACAGTGCACAAGACTGGGAGAAGATGGCAGTATCATATATTTTTCCTTATCCTGACTCATGCTCTTTTTGCTTGTCTCCTTCCTCTTGCGAACATAGTGGAACACTTGTATCTCCCTAATTGAAGTTCCCTTCAATGTAAAATCACTAATTAGTACACCACGAGTTACCTCCCTTCCACAAGCTCGGGAACGAGGGCGCCACCTCTACCCATGTGCCTCACTCTCTCCTTCCTTGCCCAGTGAGCTGGACGTGAGAGCGCCTGTGTCTCCCGACACACTATATCCTTTGATTATATTTAGTTAGTTACCTCGTATAGAGATCTATAGAGGTTTAGCTAGTATCTTTCAACAATTATATATTGATATTTAGTCGTGTTTCTACTGTTTATGCACGGACGCCGCTGTTGTTGCAGTGGATTACGTTGATAAAAATTCTGTACTGTTGCACATTACGCTTTTATTCTGCTGCTGATCCGCATTTAATATGCCCTAGCTGTACTGCGCCATGTTTCATGTGATTCACGCTTGCAGTTGCGATACTAATTTATCCAATTCTACCTTTAATAAATAATTACTTTATGCTTTTGAGCCACGCAGCAGATAGGTCAGCAGATGCAGAGTCTAGCGATGACTGATACACCTGAACCCTCGCCAGTCTACTGCTGTTGGTCGACCCTCCCCGCCTGGTGTTCCGCTAGAGTGGTAGAGAGGCGCGGAGTCCGCCGCCTCCAAGAAGCGTCCTGCTTCCCCAGACATCCCATCAAGACAGCCGAAGACTAGAGGGTTTCTACTGCATCTCAACGCGACCTCTGAGGGGAAATCAACGAAGTCTACTTGAACTTTCTCAGCCGAGATTGTTCCCGTCGCAGATTTGGGCCTGTATGATGATCAGCCAATCATCATACCTGATGTACATCAAAAGTATGACCGATGTCGACAACAGTGATGTCAGCGCAGATCAACATGCAGCCTGATGTACCAACGCTGATATTCTATGATCTTCCTGAGGGTCCCGTCACTACCAACACTCAACGCAGACTTCGCACCCCCAGGGCAGCGTCGACCTCTGAGGGGAAATCAACGAAGTCTACTAGGACTTTCTCAACCGAGATTGTTCCAGCTGCTGAACTGGGCCTCTACGATGATCAGCCGATCATCATCCCCCGACGCATACAAGAAGCGACCGGAGACAGCTACAGTGACATCAACAGAGATCGCCATGCAGCCTGAGGTCTCTACACTGACGCCAGACGACTTCCCTGAGGGCCCCGCCGCTAACATCGCAGAGGGCACCGACTAATTGCCGCGAGACCATCCCAGATGAACTGTTGCGCAAATCATGATCATGATGGAGGGCCACTACAGACTGGGAAGCAGCCAGCCTAAGGCCTGAGCCTCAAGGTTCCAACGCAGACGACACCCCAGAGGCACCCCCATCAGCGCAACAGCCACGACGAAGCCACCTTCGCTAAGGAAGTCACAGACCACCTCCACGGCGGACCCAGATGTACAGCTCTTCGCGAAGGCCTTCGCTGGCGGGATAGATCATCACCTTCCTCGCTTCATCCTTAGATGCGACTCAGACCATCAGACCTCACGGAAGCCTTCGCTGGTCAAATCGCCGCTCCCCAGGACCGGACGAGAGGAAGCTTCTAAGGCCTTCTTCGCTGGCGACACCTGACTACACAAGAGCTTCGGCTATCAACATTCTCCTCACAGGTCTCCGAGAAGGTCAACCCATAGACGAGATCACCAACACGATCTCCGCCGCCGTTAACCGCGCCGATCTCTTCGCACATCACCACGCCGATCGCCTCACAGGTCACCACACAAGTTCTGCACAATAAGTCTACAGTCAGGTCTCCCCGAAGGCCACCCGACATAGAGATAGAAATACACAGTCCACCATCAGAAGAGCATCAACATCTCATCAGCGATGTTGGGATAGAAAATGATGGAGGCATCATTTTCTCAGACGCTGAGATACGATATTGGATGGTAAACAACCTAGATCTCTCTTCACCTTCCAAGAGTGGCAACTCGGGCGCAGACATACCTGATAAAGGAAGACGAGGCAGACGCCATCACCTTACCTCCTCGATCGACTCGATTGCCGCGGTGCCACAGTATGTGGACACAGCCTACCATAAAGCCATAACAGTTCAAACGCCAGAGGCGTGATGTTCTTGGCATTAATAGATCTAGAACGATCAATGAGATTCTTATCACCAGATTTCGTGGACACGACTTCTGAAGATGATAGGATGATCTACTCGGCTCTACTTATGCAGAACCAGCAAGAACCACACCCTGTATGAAGCTAACGCCATATATTGATCGGATTCTAGACACTTCGCTAAGGAAGTCCCAGGCCACCTCCGCCAAGGAGCTAGAGCCTCACCAGTTACAAGGGACGCCACGGAGGAGAAGCGCTTCACCGACCCCACATATTGTTGAGTGGGGTAAAACAAAAACACTCACTCACTCACTCCTGTTGAACACAGAGGTCGCTCAAAGCAAGCGCCATATATTATATATATACTGATCGGGCTTCTGATTTCGATACCTTCGCTTCGCTGGGTCGCTAAGGCTAAGTGGCTCCAAGTCTACCTCACACAGGAAATCTAGAATGGATACTTCGAGAGCTTCATGAAGTCTCCGGCCCACCGAGGAATTCTCCTCCAAGGTCTCCATATATTAGCCACTCATCATATATAGCTACTGTCAGTCCGCTCAAGACATCGCGATAAGTTGTCTATCAACTGTATGCCATATGCCGCCTATAAGCCTACGCGAAGACAATTGCACAGGCTATTTACAACACAAAACGCCGCTATATTAATTAATCAACGACGCTGTGCATAGATCTTCACAGAAATCAACCTTTCCGTGATAGATTGCTAGAATATGCAATCCCGACTACGATACGATTATCTACATGCGACCATTACGCAGATCTGCAGACAATTCAATATCGAAATTGAACAGCAGCCTTGTTACAGCGAGTATAACTCATAATCGCCAAAGTTTCTGAGAAGAAATATGTACAAGTTCAGCTTTAATTCTACAATTATGACGATACATTCATGTATACAGTCTACAAGCTGACAACTTGCAAGTTTATTGTACCTTTATATAAGGAAGTCGGAATTATATTCAAAACTGAAGTTACATTCACGCACAGCCAGGAAAATAACCTACCCAGCATTAATATTACAGAGCGAGGTATTTCGCTACCGAGGTTTCACAAGGCAAGTACCTTTAACCTCAAACACGTGGGTCACTCGGGTAACTTCGAAGCTTACGTGAAGACCGACGATTATGCTAATATCAACGACGGCAAGATTTTATACAAGGTTTTTCCTGCTACACCGGTGACATCACAGCTGGTATTCTACAGAATCAAAATGCCTTGTTCTGATTGGACCGCTGTTGGACAACGACTCCACGAGAGGTCGATCTTAGTTCACAGTTCAAGACTTACGCTACAAGTGACAACTATATATCAGTGAACGAGCAAGCCTCCTTACAGTCCAGTTAATCTGAACCTTCATGATTGGGCTGCCTTCTTCAGGTTAGAGACCTCCCCTGTCAAGTTAGGACGAGGCACGGCAGTCAGGCAATTTTACATAAAGTTCAACGAGGACAGACACACCTGGTTGTGCACCTACATCGCCAAGGACTTCGCAGCTAATAACCTAGACGACGGGATACAAGTGGATCTAAATCCACAGCGCCTCAGACTACAGCTGAATTTTATCATCAAGCTACTAACACAACTAGATGGTTAGTAAACCTACTTAAACTTTCTGATTGGAGAATTAAACGGAAGTTTCACCCTCCAACTTGGGGATCTGAATATAGTGTTCAACACCTCACAAGTGAGGTTTATGAACACGCCTGGATGACATACTTGGACTCCATGATACGATGATTCTATCACGATGGCCAGCAAGAGCACTGTAAATTTATCTCCACCGAAACAAACAGAAGGGAATAATACAATAGATTATTTCCTCTATCATCAACTTATGCAGAATGAAATCTCACGCACTATATCTCCGCTTGGATCAGAACTGTCATACTACGTGCATACAAGACGGATGGACCCAATCCGACCCTCCATGAGCTTTTAATACTCATGATATTAGAGCGCTAACTTCTACAATTGATCTACACAATATTATTTGAAATAATGGAGGGTTTATTTTCTGAGATCCGATATGGTGGTTGCCAACCATTATCTGAGAGATATCATCACCGAGGACGCCTCTGGGTATCCACCAATTCGATCCCATGGTCCTCGCGACAACAGTTGACAGTTCCTCGAGAAGATAAGTCAATCTTACAGATTTCTACTTATCTTATAACAGTACTAAATAGCTACATGCTATATATAATTTGCTTAAGTTCTTTTTATCATCACAGTACTATGATTATTACATCATACAATATATAAGTTAACAACTCTACAGAGTTGGTTATTATATATTTACCTTAACTTAATTATATCTTAAGCATAGTACTATACTCAGATTGTAAAAATATATAAGCTAACAACTCTACAGAGTTTGGGCTATTATATAGGTAGCTTAAGCTTATTCATATCTTAAGCTCAGTACTATGTTTATATCATATCAGTATATTAGCTAACAAACTCTAAAGAGTTTTTGCTATTTGGCTTAAGGCTCATCATATCTTAAGCAATATGGTTACATTATAACATGTATTAGCTAACAAACTCTACGGAGTTTTTTACTATTATATATGTAACTTAAGCTTATTCATATCTTAAGCTCAATACTATGTTTATATCATATAGGTATATTAGCTATCAAAACTCTAAAAGAGTTTTTTGCTATTATATATTTGGCTTAAGTTTCATCATAATTTAAACTTTATGGTTACATTATAACTTGTATTAGCTAACAAACTCTACGGAGTTTTTGCTATTATATATGTAGCTTAAGTTTTCCTTCAAATCTTAAGCTCAATACTATGTTTATATCATATAAGTATATTAGCTAACAAACTCTACGGAGTGTTTGCTATTATATATGTAGCTTAAGGTTTCCTTCATAAACTCAATACTAGGTTTATATCATATAAGTATTTTAGCTAACAAACTCTAAAGGGTTTTTTGCTATTATACAATTAGCTTAAGTTTCATCATATCTTAAGCAGTATGGTTACATTATAAAATGTATTAGCTAACAAAGCTCTACGGAGTTTTGCTATTATATATATAGCTTAAGTTTAATTATATCTTAAGCTCAGTACTATGGTTATAACATAAAAGTATATTAGTTAATAAACTCTAAGGAGTTTTTTTGCTATATACATTTAGCTTAAGTCTAATCTTATCTTAAGCTTAGTACTATGGTTACATTATAAATCTATAAGCTAATAAACTCTACAGAGTTTTGGCTATTATATATGTAGCTTGAGTTAATTATATCTTAAGCACAGTACTATACTCATATTGTAAAAATATTAGCTAACAAACTCTACAGAGTTTTGCTATTATATAGGTAGCTAAGCTTATTCATATCTTAAGCTCAGCACTATGTCTATATCATATAAGTACATTAACTAACAAACTCTAAAAAGAGTTTTGCTATTATATAATTAGCTTAAGTTTAATCATATCTTAAGCTTAGTACTATGTTTATATTTTAAAGTAATTTAGCTAACAAACTCTAAGGAGTTTATACTAAGATATTAACAAGCTTAAGTCTATTAGTCTTAAGCATTGTATTAATGTTATATATACTTTATCATAATAAGTACATTGTAATAACCTTTATATGGCAGCTGATAAGTTAGCAGCAGGAATTCATCAATTCAGTGCCTTTATGAAGTTCCCATAGGGTTATTACAATCATCACAGTTCAAATCACTAATTATTAAAATCCAAAGTATTATATATTCCCACCTCCTTCTGTTGGATTCTACAAGCAAAGAGCATGAGTCAGGATAAGGAAAATATGTAATTTTTTGAGTAAAATTGATATTTTATACTTATCCTGACTCATGAGGTCAGCCCTCCCATCCTCCCCAAATAACACTTTGGATTTCCCTGTAAATTCAAATGTTGGGCTCAGTATATGAGGAGAGAGTGAGGCACATGGGTAGAGGTGGCGCCCTCGTTCCCGCGCTTGTAGAAGGGAGGTAACTCGTGGTGTACTAATTAGTGATTTTACATTGAAGGGAACTTCAATTAGGGAGATACAAGTGTTCCACTATGTTCGCAAGAGGAAGGAGACAAGCAAAAAGAGCATGAGTCAGGATAAGTATAAAATATCAATTTTACTCAAAAAATTACATATTTGAACTGCCATTTAGGTGGATTTGAGATTTGTCTCATATCTCCGCTTGGATTTCTTATTGAAATTGGCAACCTGTGTCGGTGTACATGACTTAATGGTGTGGATGGTCAGGTTTTGTGACCAGGCTGCAGCATGTCATTTTATCATGACAATATGACAACTGAAAAATGAAATGACATGGATGGAATATTTTCAGTGTTCCCTGGCAACACGACTTGAACACTTAAAAATATCAGTGGCACTCTCAGTCCCACAGCTTAGCATGGGTGAGGCTACTTTGAATGCCAGTGGCCATAACAGGAAATCCTGTATTGGATGGTAACATAGATTGTGGGTTAGTTTATGGTACAGGACAAATGAAGCTGAACTATGCTCGACAGTCTTGATGGTGCTTACGAAAGCCAGCTCTCAAGTTTGAAGGTTTTCATCATATTTACTGATCAATTAAACAGTTAATTGAAATGACATAATTGTGATGTTTTAAGTTAAATTTGATCATCAAAGTATATGGCCACACTTATTTTCACAAAGGAAGAACTAAATTGTCCGTCTGGTGCCCTGTTGCACCTTTTGAAAAAATTGCATTTGTATCCTAGATTTCTTGTATCCCTAGATTTCTTGTAATTGCTGCTTTCTCTCTAATACAGAATGGATTATTCTTGGACAACTTTGATGAAATTGGCAACAACGAAGAAAAACATTTGATGAAAGAATAAATGAGGTGTTCTTGTTTCACAGACTGATAACAACCAAAGAAAATGATCGGAAGGTAGCTCTGTACTCCATCCACTCCAACCCACGCAACTCTTTCGAGTTCTGTGTCGGAGGTCGGGATCACTTCGTCAGGTCAGTGTCTCTGCAGTGAAGGCAGTATGTGCGTGAAATGTTAGATTGCAGATACAATGTTCATGTCGAACAAAATTATCACAGCTCATTCTTTGAAAAGAAATGCAGATTTGTTCCTCATTCAGATCTGTATTCTTTCCTTACAAACTTTTTGTTGTTTTTAGTCATATAATAATCTCTTGCATGAACCTCGGTGATGGGTGTGGAACCCGTGAATGTCTGTTGACAGCATGTGTTACAGACATACTGATTAAACAGTGCTAACACGAGGATGAAAAGTCTGAAATTGTGCTTGTCTGTGGATTCCCAGAAAAAGGCTGAACTGGCTGTCTCACTCAGTAAAGACCTTGTCCACTCTCCCTTGGTTGCAATAATTACAATCATTATCATGGTGCTGAAACATGTACTTGTTATTCAAGAGACTACATACACCCCACTAGTGACATATGAAACAATTTATTACGAGTAATGATGATGTGTTTTACATGTCATTGATGTTTAATATTATAATCAACTCTAGTTCTTTGGTTGAAGCAACAGATGTGTATTGTGTATTGTTTGTGATAAGTCTAAAGTTGTATGCCACAGTACCAGGACATGAATTGATTGTGTTTTGTTGCAGGAGGCGCGTAATGTTTTGAAGCTTGTACTAATGTTATGTATGGGCTTACTTTCCAGAATCTATGACAAGAGAAGGATTGCTGAGGTGAGAGACTGTGTAGTGTCCTTGTACAGTAACCTCATCAGGAAGGAACTGAATACTTGAACATTAATCGATGGGGTCTATTTTGTCAACCTATTTAAACCATGTGGTTCTTCTCAGTGACTGACATTTTTATGATATGGCTAAAAGCGGCTTTGATCCATACCGACTCGTGAAGTGATTGATTACTATGTACTAGATCAGTAGTAGCCGTGGACTTGCCATGAATACAGTGTTCCCCAAGTGAGTTTCTGATATCAGAATAATACTGTTGTAAATCACCAACTGAACATACGGGAAGGGCAAAATTGTGTATTAGGAGGATGATGATGTTAAGTTTTTCCCTGTCAGTTCTGTCAGAATCTACAGATATCCTACCCAAGCACCCAGCCCATGCTTTTGGATTTTACTAAAGTGGTTAACGTCTGAGATCTACTTTCACTGCAGATGGCGCGGTGGGGTAGCCTAGTGGTTAAAGCGTTCGCTCGTCACACCGAAGGCCCGGGTTCGATTCCCCACATGGGTACAATTTGTGAAGCCCATTTCTGCTGTCCCCCACCGTGATTTTGCTGGCATATTGCTAAAAACGGTGTAAAACCATATTCAGTCAGTCCACTTCAGGTTATCCTTCTACATTTGGCAGACACACCTTAGTATAACAGAAACACTGTTCAATGGGGCATTAAACCAGATTATTTGTAAATGACCAGTTGTATTTGCTTGTTGCCAGGCTAAAAGACTTCTTTTGATTGCAGGATGTCAATGGCGGGGTGCTGAAGAAGTTCTGCCCTCATCATCTGGTATGACATTTATTTATCTTCACAAGTCTGTAACTGCTGCCCTGAACGTAGGGCTCTGCCATATAGCTGGAATATTGCTGAGTGCAGCGATAAGAAACAAACCAACCTGAACACAGACTTGCAGTAGTCATAGGCAAGTTCTGAGTACATGGGTAATTGAAGTGCTCTGCTTTTGTTTGGAATTGACCACTTCTGTAGCTGGTGATTATTCATGCCTACTATGCAAACATATTATTAGAGATGATTCTTCAAATTACTTTGAGATGGCCCTGTGGAATTTGTATGTCATTGAAAGGTTAAAGGTGAATGTCATGAGATAAAAAATTGTGGTTTCATTACTCCAGAATGAATTAATGCATTTATCATTCAACTTGGCATTATCTTCTCGAGGATGGGATATGCTATGAAAAGGATGTAATCAAAACAAGTGGAAGGTTATCTTTGGATTTCTGTATAACATGGTCTGATGATGGTTGTTTTCTGAGGCACGGGTCTTTATACTCACGTGTTTCAAGTCATACTATATCAAGTGTAATTTCTATTTACATAATTGGTGAAGATAAGCCTTCAGGTAATTACTGAAAGATTATTGAAGTTAGATATCCTACAATAGACTAATTGCACATGAACCTCTGGTATTTTTGCCACATGCAAGGAGGTGTAGGTCAATGTTACGTAAATGTTTGTGGTTACATATTTATCAAATACTGCATGTGTGACTTTGTATACTTTCTCAAGGGTGGGGCCCTGCACTTAAAACAGTTTGATCAATATTAGTAAAAAGTTGAAGCTGAAGATTGATTGTTTTGTGTGTGAAACATGGTTTTGTGGTGGTCAGTTTCTGAATCATGGTTACACAGTCACTCTGTCCTCAAACATGACTCAACCCACTGACTGGTCCAGATGTGACAGGCAATGTTGATGGCTGTTCTTACATACTTACTCTAAAACCAGATGATCTGAAGAAATATTGTGTGAAATTGTAAATGCAGCATAAGGGTATTGTTTCAGTTGGAGAGTGATGTAAAGGCCAACGTGACCTGTGCCTGCTACAACTACAACGGAACAGGTGAGAGGGTTGTGTGGGGGTCATTTCTTCATTGTCTGTAACCACTTGGGTCAGCTCGTCTGTGTTTATGACCTTGTTGTCAGCTTGTCCACTCACCCCGACAGCATGAAATTTTGCTCATAGTATCAATCACTGGATTGCCTGGTCCTGATGAGACATTTTACAAGCTGATGTCAGATAGCTGGAATGTTGTGGAGTGCTTCAGACAAACACAATTTCATTTCCTCAGGTGGGGCAGTCTGTCGGTGAAAGAGTCACTCGTCATGCTGAAGGCCCGGGTTAGATTCCCAATGTGTGAAGTCCATTTCTGGTGTCCCCAGTCATGATATTGCTGGAATATTGGTAAAAGCAGCGTAAAACCCAACTCTTTCATTCTTTCGTTCGTTCATTCCCTCTGGGTTTGTTTAGTGTTATGTGGGATGTGTGAGTTCTACCTGTAAGATAATGCCAATACATTGATTCTCTCCAGGGCTGTTTTCAAGTTTTAGGGCTTGCACTGTATGATATATTATTGTCAGTGTTTCCAGAAGTCAGTGTAACAATCCACTTCAAACAGAACCCACTCGGCCCTTGTCTACTTTGGAAGAAACTTTCAACAAGAAATGAATAATAAGCAAATGTGAAGAAAACAAAAAATAAGTTTTGACTAAAATAATTCTGATCATGCAAAACTGAATTAGAATTGTGAACAATGTCAAGGTTCCATGGTGGGTTTTCATGACAATAGATATATTCAAAAGAATAGCAAGGTGTTTTATACAAATGAAGTGAGTAAGTGAGAATGTTTTTAAGCCGCTTTTAGCAATATACCAGCAACATCACGGCGGGGGACACCAGAAATAGGCTTCACACACTGTACCCATGTGGGGAATTGAACCTGGGTCTTAGGCATGATGAGCGAACGCTTTAATGACTATGCTACTCCACCGCCCCTCAAATGAAATCAAGTTCTTTGATAACTGGTAGTAAATCAGGACTTGGATTGCCAGCATCACTGAAGTCATCATTGATGGTGCTTCAATATGTGAACATTATGAGTGATATTTTCAGGAAGACTTATTTTAGTGGCCAAGCAGGTTTTTCTAGTCGAGTTTGAAAGAATAATTAAGTGAAGAATTGTATATGTAGCATCCTCATGTCATCTTGGTTGTAGAGGTGCTGGGGACGTATAACGATGAGGACATCTACCTGTTCAACAACCACCACTCCGACGGTGCAGAGTTCATGCAGAGGTACCGCAGTCATCGTAATAACGCTACAGGTACAGTCTCAGTGCTCTCATGTAATTTTTATAGTGACATGACCATCATAACTCACTCCTCAGTGTGTTTCATGTTTCTTTCTTCATAGTCCAACAGACTTATTGATCCAAAATACCAGCTCAGCCAAAATACTACAAGAACTAAATGGCCACAGACTTACAGACAAGCCAATTTTGAGTGACAAGGTTACCTTAGCCTTTGAAACAAAACACTATGACAGTTAAACCCTGTTGGTCAAGATTCTATTTGTGATTTAGTATGTTTTTCCTTATCCTGACTCATGATCGTTTGCTTATCTCCTTCTTCTATGTGAATGTTAGTGGAACACTTGGATCCCTTGTAGTTCCCTAAAGTGGACGTAAAAGTTCTCTCACCCACGAGTTGCCTCCCTTTTCCCGCACACACAGTCATGTGTCATGCCATGCTTGTCACTCTCTCCTTCATCGCCCAAGCAGATGGTTGGGCCAGCACTGGAGTCACTTATACGGCACCATATCCATTAATATTTAGATCCTTTATCCAATTTAAACTGTGTATAGTTTTTTTGGTTATATTTAGTTTTCATCGTGTGTCAAACTAGTCATAAAATTATTCATATTTTGTGACATTTATTCATCATAATGTAGTTTGTTTACATTTGATGAATCTTGCAGTGTTACAGGTACTGGCTATCAGTGACTGATCCTCACCTCACATGCATTAATCCATGTTCTTCCAGCTTGCGTTACAGATACTGTATTAATTTGTCAGATTTGCAATTTAATCAATATTTATCTTACATCTATAGACGTACCATGGATCAGGTGAGGAAGTCATCTCAAGTCACTGTTGATAAACCGGAGATAATGCCGGTAACGGTGTGTTGTCTTCTACTGCAAAAATACATACTACTAGTGATTTGCTGAGTACGTTTCAGGGGTAGTCATCTGCTGTTGTTCGTAATTTAACTGCTGCTAAGAAGAGGTCTAACTCGTCCGAGACGTCGTCATCGCAGTCTAAGAAGATGTCTTCATCGACTTCAACGCAGAAGAAGTCATCTGCATCCCGACCTTCAGTGAAGTCATCTCGTTCTGGTAAAACATCTCATCAGGGCTCGTTTAATGAAGACATTGTGCCGTCTGCCAAAGCAGACGGTTTTTTTGCTGACCCGCCTATACTTCTACCTGAAGTACCTCTCAGATCGGCTATAAGAGCGACACAGTCGACCTCACGACGACTAGATCATCTCCTGCAACTACAACAGCTGCTCAGCTGTCTGATGACCAGCCTCCAACAACGCAGACATCAGTCATTAGCGAAGTAGACGTAGACAACACCTCAGCATTCGTGAAGCTTCGTCCACGCCGCAGTAGTTCCAGCCTACAACGCAGAACTGCGACCCGGGCGACTTTATGGGGCAGTTTACAACGCAGATGATGGCCTTGATGGAGCGTTGGTTTTCGCCGAAGAAGCAGCACCTTGGCAGAACTCTACGATGGCAGTCAACGTTCGCAAACCCTCCGACCTGCGCAAACCTGAAGCAGCTACACCCCAGAGGTTTACAACTGCAGATGTGGTTCGCGAACAGCCACGTTCGCGAAGATCTTCACACTCAGAAGACTCTATCATCATGGAAGATGAAGGTTCAATGAACCTCCCAGATGCGTCTGCGAACCCTCAACATTCGAAAATGTCAAGAAGGTCCTCTCCGAGATCCAGTCGATCCTCATCTAGATCCCGCAGCCCATGCACGCGTTCGGGGAACATTCGCGAAAGGAAGGTTCGAGAAGGCAGGGTTCGAGAAAGGAAGGTCGCGAAAGGAAGTTTCGAGAAGGCAAGGTTCCCGAAGGGAAGAGGCAACGCAGACATCTCTCAGATCAACAAGCAGATATCAGCAACGCAGACATCTACAGGGTTCGCGAACCCTTAGATTAACAGGCAGGATGATTACGTCGACTCTATAAAAAGATGAACAACATGTGCGATCTCTACAGCTTACAGCCTGCACAACTCTACAACCTGCACGAACCTTACACCTGTAGTAGGTTCAGTTTCGGACGACAACCTACTTGATGAGGGGAATCCCTTCATCTACACAGATGCGGAGGTCTAATGCAGATGGCCTGCTGATATTGTCGTTCACTCACTCCAACCCAACAGAGACGTACTGTATATATGCTGCTGTATATATGAAGCCGATATCTCAAGTACTGGAGAACCTCAAGGCGACCTTTGTAAAGGGCTTTTAGAATCCTTGGTAGGACAAACAGATGATATTATTAACACTCGTCACTCAGCGTGGGGATTAGGAATCTATATCCTATCAACTAGATTCAACATCAGTATTGTTCAAGATCCATACAGAAATACGTTTCGACAGCCTCCTTCGTCATGCTGGCTTATATTATCCACAATGAGAATACGTGATTAATATCACTGAACAATATTTTGCACTTGGAGCAGCCCTTATTCAAGAGGTTAAAATGAGCGTTGTAGAATTACGCGCACCTTTACTCAACCAACTATTGCACCAGATTTTATGGAGGCCAACTTGCTACAACACAGGTGACGTCATGCATGGAAGCTGATTTGTCCAGGACAGACAACGCCTCTTACTGTCAGATCACAGTAAACAAACCCGTTGTACGGGGAAATATTTCATCTGCAGCCTTGAAAACAGCATACAACTACGGGGAATCTAATCATGGGAATCTAATAGATGTCTAGCCTTGACAGCAGGATAAACGATGTTTATCTGGGAAGTTTTCGCTGATAAAAGCCTATATGAGTACCTGTCCCCTTCGATACTACACTGGAACCAGTCTTGCTATAAATAGGCAATGATGTATGCTGATCAACACAGATCGTCTGTGTATATAAGGGGAAGAATGATGTATCATCACTAGGGCTGCAATGAATACACTATGTGGCGAATATGATACGTATCATGAATATTGGGTTACGAATACGAATAATTATTCACGAATACAATATTGTAGTTAAGTGATTGATGTGCAATATGGAACGCCCATGTTGACAGTTTTGATTTGTCACAGCAATAACCAGTGATCTCATGACACTCAAATTTGGTTTGTAATAGTTATAATCGACAGTACCATGTACGGCCTTGGCAAACTAACATGACTTGAGCTACTGCAATGCAAGAATATGTTCCATTCTTGCATATCTCACTTTGGAAAAGGACATAAGGGTTCAAGTAAAACATGCTCCCTTAAAAAAATCGTAAGTATTCGTTAATATTCGGTTCTGGTGACCACGAACAACGAATTGAATTCATGAAGGGCTACGGTTCGATTCACCGAATATGCGAGTGAATCGTTACAGCCTTAATCATCACTGCAAATTGCCATTCTTGACAAGGTTATTGTCATCGCTGATGCCTATCTCCGAGGATGAGAAGCGCACAAGAAGAAAGAAATGGCGGTGATACTCATTTTGCGATCGTCTCTGTGAGTCGCGGTGAAGTCAAGATAGACTTATGTCCCTTGCTTGCCTGTTGCAGAAATGAAGGGTATTTTCCCGCTGGAATTTCTTGGCCCGGGACTATTTACATGTGTAACCTAGCCCACTGTTGCATCAGCGGAGACTTTGTAGTGCATTCTGCCTGGACAATGCAATCTAGACGCATCAACAAGCAGATCAACTCAGACGACAGCTGCAGTTTATGTTTGAACTACTGACACAGTTATGCCGATGGTTGAGCATCCAGGCGTGTCCACCAGACGCCATCAACACTCTACTAGACATAAGAGCGTGGCAACGACTCCTAGGTCTTCTCACATCGGCTCAGGCTCCCATCCACAGAGGAAGGTTACAGTTGAGACCATAACAAAGCTTTTTCAAGCCTCATCTCTTCAGTCTGCAGAGTAATGCCATTCCTCCACATCTAAAGTCGTACCTACTGTGGTGGACAGAGAAATTGAATGTCTACGGCGGAACTTATCTACAAGGGCCGGCATGCAACGTTCATCTCTTCGTGGATGCATCACTACAAGGATGAGGAGCGCATTGCAACAAGGACACGTCAGTAGGGAGTTGGTCACAACAGGAGAGACGATTACACATAAATCAGCTGGAATTCAAGGCGGTCATAAACGCAGTTCAACTTTGGGCTCAGCTACTAATGAATCAGTTCTCATGATTCACACAGACAACTCGACAGTAGCCTTCTACATAAGTCTACAAGGCTCAACAAGGTCAGCACCTCTACAAGAATTGACGTTCCAGCTATTCAGCTTAGCAGACAACCTCAGCCTGTGGCATAAGGCATATCACATACCGGGAGCAAAATACGTGTTAACCAACGTCCTATCCAGACCACGCCATCCATCACCCACAGAGTGGATGATACACCCGGAGGCATTCCAACTACTGATAGCAGACAAAGGTCGGCCTCTCATAGATTTAATTGCGACACTTTTCAGTCACCAAGTGACAACGATGTTTCACCAGTACCGGATTCTCAAGCCTGAGTTCTCGATGCACTGTCAATCCCATGGGAAGGACTAATTGCATATGCATTTCTGTCGCCGGTCCTGGTACTGCACAAAATAGCACAGACCAGAGTACTACGTCTGCTTTTGGTCTCGCCCTACTGGCCAGCGTGAACCTGGTTTCCAGACCTAATACAACTCAAAGGAGAACCAACAATGCGCCTACCAGACTGGCGGAATCTACTGATCCATCCAGACACACGACAGTGCCAACAGGATTCCGACTTCACGTGTGGACCATATTAAGCACTGCTAGAAGAAAAGAGGTTATTCCACGAGAGCAGCTAAAGCAGTCACGATGGAAGATTAACTTGTCTGAGAGAGAAGTAAGACAAGATTGTGGTCCCCCCGAGTTTATAACGGAAGTTGGAAGAATATGATCTAGGAAGTGCCGTTATGCAGTTCCCATGGGGTACTACTACAGGACGTATCTAAGGACATCTGATGAATCCACAAAGTGGCTTGACCCACCACCAATCTGTCGGATTCTATAAGCAAAAGATCATGAGTCAGGATAAGGATTTCACAGTAGATCCAAGTGCATGGGCTGTATTGAGGAGAGAGTGGCAAGCATGGCACATCACATGACAGGAAAAGGGAGGCAACTCGTGGGTGAGAGAACTTTTACGTCTGCGTTAGGGAGCTACAAGGGATTCAAGTGTTCCAACATTCGCATGATAGAAGGAGATAAGCAAAAGATCATGAGTCAGGATAAGTATAAAATATCAATTTTACTTAAAAAATTACATTTTAGAACAAAACATCAGCCTGTTTATGAAGACAGAAAGTACATTCAACAGGAGATGCTATTGCCTCTTATACACATGTTATTTATATCAATTATACAGAATGTAATGGATTACATGTACACGATAGTGTATATACCAAGCTATCAGTTGTTTCAATTAGATTGTCACATAACCTTGGCATAAAGCAACACAGTCCCAGAGCCTGTACTATGATCAAAGAAATAAATAAATTACACTGTTTTCCTAGGGGACATAAGTCAACAAATTCTCTGAAATTTGTATTGGGAGTGATAGCATTTATCTGCAGTGTTGTTGTATTTCAGTGAAGGGAGTGAACTTCTATGGGCCTAAGAGTGAGTACATCGTCAGTGGCAGTGACTGTGGCCATGTGTTCCTCTGGGACAAGGAGACAGCGAAGATCGTCAACTTCATGGAAGGCGATGAAGGGGGCGTGGTGAGTTCATTGTGAATACATACTTCAAGTGATTTCTTATGCTAACAGTTCCAATCCCTCAATTTTCCTGTACAGGCGCAGTTGCAAACAGCTCGATTGTTACATGTAGCTGAAATTTCCTAAATGCAGCTAGGCAAATAAACAAAACTAAAACTTTGAGTCCTCTGAAGACAAGGTTTGCATATATACTTCTGTACTTTCAATCCCATGTTTAGGTACAGGTGCTTGTCTACCTACAACTGGGTAGGTACAATACTCACCCAGGAGAAATTCTAGGCCGAGATCCACACCAACCTTTTCTAGTTGTTAGAGGCAAATGGATTGACATAACTAATCATCATACCCGAACACTATGTATTATTTGCACTATTAGTTACCAGACCCCACGATTTGCATGAAGCCCATTTCTGGTGTCCCCGTCGTGATATTGCTAACAGCAGCATAAAATCAAACTCACTCACTCTCTCACTATTTGTACCCGTGAAGGCCCGGGTTAGAATGAACCATCAGTAACCCATGCTTGTCGTAAGAGGCGACTAACAGGATCGGGTAATCAGGCTCGCTGGCTTGGTTGACACATGTCATCGGTTCCCAATTGCGCAGATTGATGCTCATGCTGTTGATCACTGGATTGTCTGGTCCAGACAGATTATTTGCAAACTCTCTCACTCACTCTCACTATTTGTACACTGCCTTAATATATTCTAATGCTCTAGAGCAGAACTAAACAAACAAATGACACCAAACTATCTTCTTCTTTTTGTGACCAGATCAATGTGTTGGAGCCCCACCCCTTTGCTCCTATCCTGGCTACCAGCGGGTTAGACCATGATGTCAAGGTCTGGGCACCCACAGCAGAGGAACCCACCAGACTGAAGGGACTGAGGAAGGTAAATATACATTCATAGCTGGCAATGGTCATAAAGTCGTTGTGTTTATTAGGAATTTGAAACTGAAATATAAAATTAAGATTTGTTATTTATTTCATTCAAGTAATGTCTTGATTTACCTGAGAAATATAACATATTTTTCGTAGCCACTAGTATTTATAGAAAGTGTGAAAATTTAACCTTACCACCAATTATGAATATGTCAATGGAGCAGATGAATATGAAGTGGATGGAATGGAGGTAGAAACTAAGGGATTAATTGATTTATCAAGTTTCTGAATTTGAATTCTGAGTTCCTGGATTATGTCATAGATGATACATATCGTTTGGCTTTATTGCCCTGACCAAAAGATCATTACTAAGTTGGTGGGATTTGGAAAGGTTGCAGTTCTATGAATAGCACCTCCTTGCTCTCCTGTCCCTCCTCCTGTACATCCTGTGCTGGCTCTGTGCAACCTGTGCGTTAAGTGAGTGAATTACCTCACATCGGCAATATTTCAGCCATGTCATGACAACAGAAAGTCACACACCGAGAACAAACATGTCTATATCTTACAGAAAGTTGGACACTAGATTATCACAGACCATATTAAAATCTAGTTTGAGATCATCATAAACTAACGACTACCGGCGATCAACCACTGGTTGGGCTGACTTGCTTGGATTTTAACACCGCACTCGGCAATATTCCAGTTATATGGCGGTGATCTGTACATAATCCAGTCTGGACCAGACAATCGAGAGATTACCATCATGACCATTGATCTACGCAATTGGGATACTTTGACAATTGTCAACCAAGTCAGGTAACCTGACCACCCGATCCCATTAGTCTCCTCTTACGACAAGCGTGGTTTACTGAAGACCAATTCTAACCCAGATCTTCAAGGGTGGCTGACTGATTTTTAAATATTTTGCTAAAAAACTTTTAAAAAATAATTAATTTTTGCTAGCCCACACAATTAGCTTTCAGAAGGAAGAAAGATCTCCTGGAATATGCACCAGTCTTGAATAAATATTCGTATTGAATAATTCACTCCAAAAATCTAACCCAAGCGTCTGTGACAAGATTCAAGATATTTTACCCCAGTTGGGGTACAACCCCACTGACTTTGGATTGTTTTAAGGGGTGAATAAATAGATAAGTCCTGGTTGATGCATTCTGTATTTTTTACACACTCTTTTCCATATAAAATACAAGTTTAGACATGTGGTAAATCCCTGCTTAGGTTGTCCTGACTTGGTTATTTAGAGGCTGTCGTTAGGTAACTAGAATTGTTAAGTGCAGTGTTACACAACAAGCAACATATTTTTTAGGCAGTGAAGCGGAACTGTAAAGAGAGAGATGAGGAGAGAACGCAAGAACCAGAGATGATTGATGGACAGATGCTATGGTTTATCATGCACCACTTCCGGCGCTCAGCCAGGAGAAGGGTAGGTTCCATATTGCTGTAATCTCTATTCTAGGACTCGGCCAGGAGAAGGGTAGGTTCCATATTGCTGTAATCTCAATTCTAGGACTCGGCCAGGAGAAGGGTAGGTTCCCTATTACAGTAATCTGTGTTCTAGGAATCGGCCAGGAGAATGGTAGGTTCCCTATTACAGTAATCTGTGTTCTAGGACTCGGCCAGGAGAAGGGTAGGTTCCCTATTACAGTAATCTGTGTTCTAGGACTCGGCCAGGAGAATGGCAGGTTCCCTATTACAGTAATCTGTGTTCTTGGACTCGGCCAGGAGAAGGGTAGGTTCCATATTACAGTAATCTGTGTTCTAGGACTCGGCCAGGAGAATGGTAGGTTCCCTATTACAGTAATCTGTGTTCTAGAACTCGGCCAGGAGAATGGTAGGTTCCATATTACAGTAATCTGTGTTCTTGGACTCGGCCAGGAGAATGATAGGTTCCCTATTACAGTAATCTGTGTTCTTGGACTCGGCCAGGAGAAGGGTAGGTTCCATATTACAGTAATCTGTGTTCTTGGACTCGGCCAGGAGAAGGGTAGGTTCCCTATTACAGTATTCTGTGTTCAAGGACTCGGCCAGGAGAAGGGTAGGTTCCCTATTACAGTAATCTGTGTTCTTGGACTCGGCCAGGAGAAGGGTAGGTTCCCTATTACAGTAATCTGTGTTCTAGGACTTGGCCAGGAGAATGGTAGGTTCCCTATTACAGTAATCTGTGTTCTAGGACTCGGCCAGGAGAAGGGTAGGTTCCATATTGCAGTAATCTGTGTTCTTGGACTCGGCCAGGAGAAGGGTAGGTTCCATATTGCAGTAATCTGTGTTCTTGGAATCGGCCAGGAGAAGGGTAGGTTCCATATTGCTAGGACAGAACAGAGAATAGGCCCCATGTACTTCATGCTTTTTATCACTTGATTAAAGAAGACTAGTTAAAATCTGTGATGATGCAATGTACCTGTGTCCTGACATCCTGGTATGTTGCATCATGATGCAGCCTCTAGATGATCTTGCCCACACTTGATGTGGCTGGAATTGAATATGTTAAAGGACAGGCTTCACATGGTTACAAAAAAAGAATGATTCATATATACTGAATGATATAAGTATTGGTACTTGTCACTACCCTGTTTGCTGCTCAGCATTTCAGCTCCGACTCAATACACTGTGTATAAGTAAAACTGCAGCATGGGTGCTCAGTTGGCTAGAATGCACATCGCAGTATACATGCAATAATCTTACATGTGACTCATAATCCTATTTCATGTTATCTAACCAAAGTTTGTTATTGACTCCTGAACACTACTGGTTAGACAAGATCTGCTAACTTGAGCAGTGTCATGCACACTGAAGCAAATCATTTATTCATTTTTTTAAGTGAAAAATGTTTCTTTTTTATCAGTTGCGTCAAGAGGGGGAAGAGGTGTCTAGTTCCAGCGAAAACAGTGACTCTGATTCAGATGAGGAGGAGGCTGAGGACACTGAAAGACTTCAATGTACCCCGTCCTAGTCATGTGACGGTCATGTGACACTTTTGTCAAATGCATAAGATATTCTAGCCACATGTCACATGACATGGATCATGTGACTGTCACATGGTATCAGATGGTCATGACTTGAGATCCTCGGTATGTTGCACCTACTTGTTGCATGTGTGACCGCTGCCAGTTTACATTACACACAAGACATTGTTGGGATGATCATGAAACCGGGAAGCATATAATGTTAGCAGAGCATCACCAATTTATGCTGTGGAATTACAGCTTTGAAGAAACTGTCTGGCTTAAGGCAGGAGGAAGACTTGAACACAACAACTATTTCTGAAGAACCTGCAATGAAACTGTTTGGAGAAAGTTACCCGCAAAATAAAAACATTGTACACAGGAAGTTGCATCGCAACAAGGACTGAGCGATCCTTTTCTGTGAATATTTGGAAAACATTTGACAGTTGAGATTGGTAAGTGTACATGTAAATGGCGTGAATATCACAAACCTGCTAGCTTTTTGTTATACAGAGGAGATGGTGTAACAAGAAAATAAGCATTTCTTGATGTTGGTTGATATTTACGTGTGTACTTCACTGACGGGAAGAAGAATCACTTTCACTTTAAGAAAGACTCCTTGGTTGCTATTTCATGTACTCTGGATTTGCCCAGTGGAAATTGATAATAATGCAGTAAACTATGTTTAAAAATGACATTGGAAACAAAGATTGGTTTTCTTTTTTTGACTGTTATTTTTCTGCCCTCCATCTGAAATGTTACTAAATCTCAATCTTTAATGTGCCATAAATGCATTTGAATATTATATTCAGTCAGAATATGAAGGTGCGTGAATTCAGAAATTGTGTCCTTTGCTCATGTAAAAGACACAATATGTGGTGCCAAGTGTCAATTTGACAGGGAGAGTATAAAGGATGATAGATAGCTTACAGCATGTGTCAAATCATTTATGTGTCCAAATTATATAGTTACTCCACAGAATATACAAACCAAGAGCAGGACATAATGATGCAGGGAAGATAAGACATTGTTGACAGACTTCCACTTCCCAGCAGTTCATGCTATAGCAACCAGGAAATACATTTATTTTTCTTCTATGTTTATGCAGTGCTGTATGAAGTTTGAAAAGATAAATTTAATAGAAATAGATTATTTTTCAAATATTAAATTGAAAATCATCCATAGAGCATTTACATATCGTGATCACAGTTTGGATGTATTATGGCAGTTGATAGTTTGACAGCAACTGTAAATCATAGCTTTAATTAAACATAGACGGTAAACTGCTTCTACTACCTGTAAACTCTGTACATACTGTATGCTTGTATGCTAATATTGTGATGTGTTCAGTTTTATAATGTTAGGTCCTGTGTTCCTTTATAATAATGAATATTTCACCATATCAGCTGGATCTAACATTTCTGGTTTGGTTTCTGCATTTGGATATTCCTAAGCTGGATTGAGTAATGGCAGTTACAGACAAGCTAGGTGTGATTTTGTTATTTTGCATGCCGAGTTGATGCCATGTCGATAATGTTTGTTTATGGCAAGGCTTCATGTTCACTGTTTAAATCGTTTGAGTGATGTGACAAACGTTTTGCCCTGAAACTGTTCACTGTATTGAAAAGTGACATAAGTGTCTCATGTATTTTACACATAAGAGGAAGCTATGGGGACAGGCTTGGTCAGACTTGCTGGCACAGTTGATTCATGTCATTGTAAACCAGTTACATAGATTGTATCTACTGATGTCTACTGATTGTCAGGCCAAGATTTAGTTACCTGTTGTCATGTACCTTGGACATTGCTGAAGGAGGCACAACACAAACCTACATAACAAACCATGTTCTTGCAAGACATGAGGTACATGGAGTTGATAATGACAACCTTGGAGGTGACTGACATGGAGTATAGGGGGTCATTATAGATGCAGAGTATCGTTTGATGGAAGGACAGACCTACTCTCACTTATGTTCACTGATTACAAGATCTGCTGTCCATACCGACATGTAGACTATTGTGAGGAATAGTAGAGCATGGGAGTTGTATCATAAAGATAACATTGTGAAACAGGACCCTGGATTTCTGTTCTCAACAACTAATCTCCCACTGTCACCAGAACACTCCCTCATGGCCTGTCCCCTACCCAAGCCCTATACCACAAGAGCAGTGGAGTACATTATGCTCCCTCACATCATATTGCATATGTGATAAAGGCTGTTTTAAATCCATCTCAGACAAACAAAGCTATCTTATAGTTGTTGCACATCGTGGAATGCAGATGCTGTCGACAGAAATGATAAACAAACATTATGAAAATGAGCAAATTTACAAGTTACTCATTGAAAACTACTCCTGTTTTTCTTCTTGAAAGGGAGCGGTGGGGGTATCCTTGTGGTTAAAGCGTTCACTCGTCAGGCCAATGACCCGGGTTCGATTCCCTACATGAGTACAATGTGTGAAGCCCATTTCTGGTGTCCCCTGCCGTGATATTGCTGGAATATTGCTAAAGTGGCGTAAAACTAAAATTACACACACACTTATTAAAAGGTTGGTGAGTTATACTCACATGGTTGGAAGCACTTGGGTCCCAGTGCTTTGATACAATATAGTTTGTGTTGCAGAGTTACATCCCTTGGTTTGTCCAACACTGCTGATGGGTTTCCTATCAGCAGTGTTCAGGTCAAAGCAGTGTTGAACCCAGCCCACTCATTTCATGATTCTAAGTATCAAGAGAGTTTCAGTGTCTGCTATTTAGAATTAGGATCTTATTCACATGTAAGAATCTCTTGTCACTGCTTTTCAATGGTATTTATTCTGCCATACAGGAACTGTTGTATGTTACACAATACTGATGACTAGCTTGATGTCTTGCCAAGTCATGTTGCTAAATCCTGTAACAAATTCAGTAGGATTTTGTAAATAATTAATCCATGTCAGTGTACATAATATAACAGTTATTTAATGCATTGGTTACGAAACAATTACCTGATCTATGTGTGTTTGCATATGTGGGTGATTTTCAGTCAGAATATAATGACATTTTGACTTAACTTTTGCACAATATTTGGGGCACTAGAACCTGAAATGATCAGAAGAAACCATGGGCGGATCCAGGAATTTTGAAAGGGGGGTCGAACCCCCTGAAACCCCCCTCTGGATCCGCCAATGGAAACCATCCTTCCACCTACCTTCTTTTTTGTAAGAAATATATCATTTTTCTTATCTTAACACCAGGCTTGGTGTAAAGAAAACAAAAGTTTTGAAAACATATTCTTATGTGATTTCTAAATATGTCTTAATGGGGTGAAACGACAAATGGTTACATCCTGAGTCAAAAGCTGTGATGTGAACAACTGTTTTGGTTTATTCCATATTAGCTGTTGCTCAGGTGATCGGTTGACAAAGTTTAAGAGATTGAATAGACACCCTGCCCTCCAGCTTGTCTTACAATTCAGTTAAAGTGCCAAAGAGAGGAAAGTGAAGCCTATGTTGTGAGAGAACATGTTGAAATTGTCGTGTCTTGGGGCTTGGGGGACTGTGTCTTGTAATGCAATAATAGGACTATTTGCCTGAAAACTGCCGACCCTGCTGCAAGGTCAGTGTTTAGAATATGGTTGTGCTCGCACATTCCTGAACACAGTGAAGCATGGGAGTTACTGTGTACAATATGGCTGTGGTTGCACATATTGTAACATTTGGTTGAGCAGAAAGGTCACTGTGTTAGATATAGGTGTGATTTCTGGAGAAGAGTGAGTCCACTTGTAACCTAAGTCAGTTAACCTGCATCCCAAGTTCACCCGATTTATCTTGTTTGCTTAAGAATCGAGGAAATTTGTCACCTTGTGTTAATCTGTTACTGTTATACATGACAGTATAAAGCCTCAGATGAGTCACCCAGTTACAGCAAGGAGTGAATGATGATCTCTTGTTTCACTGCTGTGATTACAGGACAGAAACGTGCGCTCTCCATTCACACCAAATTCTGACTGAAAATGACTGGATGTGTGTTGAACCTGATGTGTAATATTTTCTTAGTAAATGATAGAAAGTGCTTACATTTGTTGCATTTGTTCACAGCATATAACTGAGATACTTTATTCCCGATGTTTAATAATTCCATGAGTCAAGAAATACAGTGGTTCTTTTCCACAATGGACTTGTTTGTTGTGTTTGCTAACTGCATGCTGTCCAGGGTGGGAATGTCTCTGCAGGGATGACTACCAGACCTACACTATTGCCACCAGGAGAAAAAAAACAAATCAGGTCTTCCAGAGATGTTCATCTGGCATTTGTCATCTTTAGGTCACGTGGTGCGGTGGGGTAGCCTAGTGGTTAAGCGTTGGCTCATAACACCCGTGTTTGATTCCCCACATGGGTACATTGTGTTATACCTGGTGTCTGCCGCCGTGATTTTGCTGGAATATTGCTAAACGCGGCATAAAACTAAATTCACTCACTAACTGCAGTGTCTGATCTGTTGTGAGCTGGTTGACATCCAAAACTTGTCCTCAGTGTGATACGACAGTTTTGTAAGAAACATGTTTTTGCCATTCATCAATGTTCCCATTTCACAGCCAATTTTATTAGGCAGTGTGGTTTCCTTGTAAAAGCTTTTGCATGACAGCCAAAAGACAGGTGTTGGATTTCCCCTCATTAATGAAATGTGTATTTTCTTTGAATGCCCTTCCTCTATTACATCATAGCAATAAATTCTTATGTTCTTATCTAAATCTTTATTACGTTTCAACGGCCTATTTTGTCACTGCCAACATTTGCAATAGTTTTCAGGTAGAACCTATGATCTGCACAACCAAGCAACGGGAACGGGAACGGGTGACTTCTTTCATGTCCAGATAACAGTAACAGATATGACGTCACTACCGGTAGTTAGGCCAGAGGTAACGTCACTACCGGTAAATACGCCAAATCTGACGTCACTACCGGTAATTACGCCAAAGATACACGTAAATATCCCCGACATGAAATCAAAAGGGCAGTGATGAATGATAAAGACAAAATATGTATCGACCAAAACAGGTCCAAATGGCAACAAAGGCAAAATAGTGGCGAAAATCACTGAAACTTTGGGATGACAGCAGGTGTTTGCGAACAGGTTACATATGTTCTGTTCCTGCAGTAGGTCCCACCTTGCTCATTTTGCATAATGTATTAAATGTTGTGATGCTAAATCCCCTAACTAAAGAGAAAACTCTTCACAAAATCTACTAATGAGCTTCAGAAGTAAATACGCACCGTTGACTTAGTTATTTACACAGGACTAGCCTAAAGACCCCTTCTTTCAGATCTGAGGCAGGTGTCTCTGAACCGTCACTGTTATCTGCTTGAAAAATGAGATATGTCATTTATCAGAAAATCAGAGTGAGTGAGTTTAGTTTTACGCCGCACTCAGCAATATTCCAGCTTTATGGCGGCGGTCTGTAAATAATCGAGTCTGGACCAGACACTCCAGTGATCAATAACTTGAGCAGCGAGCAACGCATTTGGGATGCGATGATATGCGTCAACCAAGTCAGCGAGACATTCCGTTAGTCATTGAGTTGCTAAAGACCAGTTCTAACTCGGATCTCCACGGGTGCAATTTTAGTATACATATTGGCGTTCCTTTGGCGCACCAGAGTACTATGTTAGATTCGAATTCTGGTTGCCCCACTTACATATCTGTTCTCTTGGATTGGTTTCACTCACTCACTCACACACCTGAAGAGTATCATCGTGAGATACATTGTTGGGAACGGTGCACCTACCTTCACCAGTCACGCATTGAGCACAATCACTCCTGACAAACAACCCCTACACCAGTGACATTATCTCATTTTATTGAAAAGCTAACAAGTTAAAGCAGAAAGCCATTCCAACCATGTTCATGTTCTACCGATAACGCTACTGCATTTTACAGGAGACATGCGGGGAGAGGGTGTACGTGTTGTTTGGAATTTTACAATTTCGCTTTGATCTGACCAGTCCGGAATAGGACAGGTCACCAGCTTCCCCTGCGAGCTGGAAGATGACACCCTTGGTATTTGTGGCAATGGCGAACCTCGTGACCAGGTTCATTCCGGATTGGGTATGTCATTGTATCCATATTGTTAACATTGTTGCTCATAATAATTAGTAAATTTATGTTCACAGCCATTTATAGCTGAAACAAATGCGGTGTTAAACAACCAACAAACAAAGCAAAATGAAAAGTTACAGTCAAAGACTGGACATTGATAACAAAATCCATCAACATAGTGACTATCCTCCGTGTCTTCAGTGCTGTCATTACAGTAACATTACAACTACTCTGGGGCCTCTCCCATGGTTTCTGAGATTGCAAATAGCCTACCCTTGATATTCAATGAGATGTGGAGGAAGTCAGTTTTTGTGTACCGAAACGCTAGCCCTTCAGATAAGTAGGGTGGTTAGAGGCCAACTATGATATATTGTCGGGAGACGTAGGGAGAGGGCGTTGTTTTGTTTTTGGAATATCAAAAGCGAAAATCAAAGAAATTAAGAAACAAACAAGATTTTTATAACTTCTTATGTGTACCAAAACAAAGACACAGAAACGTTCTCACATTAACCACTTCAAATGTTTTGTATTTTAGCGCCGGTTTTGCTAAACGGCGTATTTCGTTTCCATCAATTTGGAGTCACCGTGTCACTGTTTCCTATGAAGAGTACCCTATGAACGATGTGTTTTACTTCAGGACTTCACTTCACTTAATTGTACAATAATTTTGAAATCTTTCAGAAGCCAACGCCCAAAACATTTGGGAAAAAGTACACAGAAAGTCCGTGTGCCCATGTTGTGATTACACACGGAAAGAAAGAGTGATATACAGAGGGAGACGTCTACCATGACACAGTTTACATACGTGCTGGTGACATGGGTGCAGAGTTTATTATTGGATGAGGGTATACTGTTGATGGGTGGTGATCTGTGGTACAATACTGAACACTGGTTTGATGGACATTTAAAACATTTCCAGTCTAATACAATGACAAACATGCTGGATCCACCACACTGCTGTAGGGCATTATTGAAAAATTCGCACTGTTGCAAAACTAATAATTGTTATAACAGCATTCAAACGAAAAAACATGTTTGTGTTTTCTTTCGGAACTTTATCTTTCATCACAAATTCCTCCTTAACGTAATCTCTCAACATATTTCTTACATGCCCCAGATTTATCGACTGTGTCATTTTCTCACTTCAGATTGATTGCTATTTATTTTACATCATTCCAGGAAATTATAATAATTCGGGAAATAGTGTTTTGATTTGTCTTGAAAACACGTCACTGA